GTGCACACAAAAGATTCACCATGGCGGCGGTGGGATGCTCTACATCGTATTTTTAGCAGTAGGCCTCCAACTGCCGAACACGATATATCCACGACTTAACAGTCACGAAATCTCATTCCCTTGCGCAACCCCAACCCCAAGCGTTCTAACGCCTCTGTTTTCGCTGTGCAACCGCTTCGTTGCCGCTCTGTGTGAACCTCGGAACCAATGAAGATATTCATAGCCACGGAAACCACCAACTCAAACGGCGTCTACCATGCGAAGTCCGAGCCGGTCCTGGCTACCACCCACCCGGTGCCCCCGGTTCTCCTGGGCGCTCGCGCCCATGCGGCCGACGCATCTTCTTCGGCTCTCGTCGTGGCGGTTTCACTTGCGTCCCTGGCGGAAGTGCACTACGCTTTGTTTCCAATCCCAGGGACGCCTGACGAAGACGGACTCATAGAAGACACCGCAATAGCAACTCCTACCGGTGATGAGAGTGCGTCCAATGGACAGGCTGACGGGGATGGACCGGCAGAAGGGGAGGTGCTTGCCAGGGGTGGCGTCGGCGGTGGCGACGGAGCATGTTCCGGCGATGGTTGGGGGTCTAGGAACGGTAGCGGAGCTATGGATGGGAGGAGGGACCCGTCCGCTCTGAACGAAACGCTTGGTCTCGTCACTAGCGGCGTGATCCCTTCGGCGGCGACAGCCGGCATGTTGCTCTCAGCTGCTGAAGAGGGCGGGACAAACAAGCCGGCGGAGGTCTCGCCAGCGGGGGCTGCAGCTGCCACAGCAGTTCGAAGCAACGGGCACCCCAATTTGATGACTGCTTCGAGATCCTTGGAAGGCAGTGGTTTGGAAGTGTCGTTTCGTGTGGAAGGACTGCGGGCCGCCCAGGCCTACAGTGTTTGTCTCTTCACGGAGACACCAAACTCCAACGGGTACGTTTTATTTCAGAACGCATCCAACATACTTATCAGCTTGTCTGTTATATTCCGCTTCGTCCATGCGTCAAAGATGACGACGTATTGGCCCCGATTGCAACACGAGGAATGATTGTTCGCATTGGTGCCCACCTCGGCTGCGCGTTCTGCTAATGTCTATTAGAAGGGCAATCAGAAGCTTACGCTTTCTTCGCCGTTTCCATCGAAAACATTGCGTAGTCCCGGTATCTCGCTTAATAGCAGTAGATCCTCCACGCTTCAAATTAGTGGTCGTAAACGTACTGTTTCGATGCGGAGCCTCACCAACAGGAACAGAAACCAGCGAATCTGTCGTAAAGTTGCACCTCGTCTATATTCTGCCCCCTCCCTCAAAACGCATTGTTCTGGACGGTGACCGCGCCAGGTTGTTCGGTGATGTCCATGAGCTACGGCCGGTCTCAACACACTCCCCCGTCCCAGAGCTAGCCTTGGAGAAGATCGCGTGCGCTGTGGACTGCCCTGGACTGAATCGCGACCCTTGTTGGCTGGAGGCGAACAAGTGTGGGGAATGTGTCGACGGTTTCGACGGCAAGGCGGGGCATGTCAACAGTCCATGCGGCAAGGTAACAAGGAACACAAGATCTAGCCCCGCTCTTTCGCTGTTGGCACCTATACGCAGCCAAGAGTTCTGAAGAAGCTCGACTGGATGAAGATATCGAGCCGCCAGAGGTAGCTCGTCTTCTTCCAAGTCTGTAATATCTTTGTCAACTTCAGGATCAGCGCGAGTTCAATAGGAAGGCTCTCGACTTATGAACCAGACGGACGGCGACTTGTCACACGTGCAAACCTGACCAACCAATCAGGTAGCTTCTTTGACGGAGGATGACATAGCTCGCATCACTGACCGGGAAAGGCGGAGGACGTTTGAAGGAGAACAAGCTAGTCAGTACAGCGAAGACCCTGAAATTGGCAACGACGGCGGCAGCACTCTTACGAGCGACGTTGCACCGCCGGAAAGAAATACGATATCGGTAGCCGATGGTGGATATAGCAATACAAGCATCGGTCGCCCTGCAGCTGCACCGTCGCGATCGAGACTTTTGATGGGGGTGCCGGTTGCGATGGGGCCAAACCTCACCAAGTTTTTGTACGTCGAGGTGCCCGAAGTCAACGACACAGAAAAAAAGGATGTGTTTGATGTTGAGAAGACGGCGGGCCGGCTTTGCGAGGAACTCCACACAGGAGGGGACGAAGGGAAGATCCCTGCTTGTCTGTCGAGTCTTGCGATGGCGTTGAAATCGAGGTGAGAATCAAAGGCGGAATAACGCACCAGCACATGACCCACATCGTTGTGGGTTATTCGTAGACAGAGCTTGGTCAGGACGTATTGCGATGTTGGATACGACTGCAGGCCCACAATTTTCGAGGGTCGCTCAATCTCACTTCGTGCGGAATTCTAGCGAGGGTGCTGATGGAAACTGATGGCGGTCTCCTTTCGCAGGTTCGACGACGGTCGCTTTCATCGAGAAGACGAACCCCAGCGCCCCGTACTTCAGGTTAGTTTCCTGCATGGCGCCGCTGTCACGCTGTCACCCTCCTGGACCGTCACATATATATGTATACATATATATATTTTTCTCCCATCATTGGACTCTGTCGTCTGCCCCTCTGGCCCCTGTCCTCCACTTCTACCAGCTAGACACCCAACCGGGGTCACATAGGAGGGGGGGGCTGGACCCCCTCTTGCGGTTCCTGTCTGAGGTATTTTTATCGCGAGAAGGGTACAGCAATCCCTTCCCTCGCGACTTACGAAGTCGATTATGGTTTACTAACAAACGAGCTTTGCAGCGCGTCGCTTTCATCCTAGACCGGGATTTATTTTATGAGAAAAAAACTCCCTCTGCCGGGACTCGAACCCATGACCTGGTCCTTAGCAGGCTGCGAGGCTACCCACTAGACCACCGGGGCGACCGGTGTGTATGTAGCTCTTCACTTGATTTCGCTGACGGGTAGATACCGATAACAAATATGACGGTGTTGGGAAACGTGGTGTTTACCGCTGTCCGAAACCCGTGGGGAAGTCGGTCGTCTGCACTCGACACGAAATTTCGGTCTACGGTATAGGTACGGGGACGGGCCGAACCGGGACTGGTCGTTTCCTCCACCCACCATACCAACATGGATCTGAGCGGAGTCACGTCCGTTCGCCCGCATCTCTGGACGCTTGTTGCATACATTCGTGGACGCCTCATGTTTGAACGATACCCTCCGAACAATGTTAAAGGCGTTCGATGCAGACTCAAACGTTTACCGCCACTACTGTATAGCAAGACATCTCCGATGAGTCATGTTCGTTGAGAACATCCTATGCTTTGCTGGCGAATGATTGGGCAGGTGGAGGTCGATGCACCAGGGGGGGAATCCCTGGCGTTCACTCTGCGCCAAGGGGAAGAAGAGGGGATCGCCGTGGTCAGGTTCTGTCGGGACAACGAGGGAGTTCTCCCGGACGAGCAGGCGTGTGTTGTCAAGCTCATGCAAGAAATGTCCTTGTGATGGCTCACTGGTGCCGCCATGACTGATTGGCAAAGCATCGCCAAAAGGGTACATAGGCAGGGCCTGTCTTACTAGCATAGGACTCTCTCTCTCCTTCGGTCCTATCTATTTCCTACCCTAAATTGGTTTGCTTGTGACAACGAAAAGTCGTTTCGTTACCTTACAGAGTACGCCAAACGGAGGAATGATAGAAGTCAACGGTTTTCGATGAGACATCGGCAGCCTTTTTGGCGCAGGAAACAGTGGGATTTGGTGGGATGGCGAAGAAATTTCCATGGAACATGACTTTTACGTCAACTGTTCAACGGGTTGAGGGAGTGTGCCGCAGGGGAAGACCATTGTTTGCCGTTCCCTATGGGGCTGCGTGTCTGCCAGTGCTTGGGCAACATCGCTCGTGGATAATAAGGAACTGCGCTCGCTGCCGTTGATGTTTCATGTTGCTGCTTGCGGTGTAAATTGTTGTGGCTCTCCCGAATCGATGAAGTACTCCTGCAACATATCCACTGGCGCTATGAAGGAGCAGAAAGCTTCCCTCAATGAGTGACACCGGAATCAACGAAAGTAGTTATTATTGTAGAGGCCGTCGTCTGCAGAATGATACCATGGTATTTGTTTTATTTTCCGGCAGAATCATTCGTCCGCTGGTGTTTTCTGTCCTCGGGATGCGATTTTTCTCGTTCTGTCTCGCTGGGTATCACCCAATAGTATCTTTGTGGTTTGTGTCCAGAATGGTTTCGAAACTCCGCCCTGCGACGACAGCGCCCAGCCTCATCCGGATTCGCAGCACAAGGAAAAGGCTCAACACCACGACACGTCTATCTTCGCGTGTTTTTATTATTAGCATCGACCGCGCTAACCGGTTGACCAATGAAAAGATTTCAGTCTCAGTGCGGCTGAAAACACAAAACCCTTTTATCTGCCATGAAGATGTGCGTACGTTGTCTACACTCCCTCCGCTTACGTAAGAAAATAAGTTCAGACGTTTTCGTTTATCGGTACAATTCGGTCTTTTTTTCGTGGACAAGGCAGCCTAGGGGTCCTATACATAATCATTAGGTTGTGTGTGGCTGTCCGTCGGGCCGACGAAACGACGAAAACAGGAACATGACGGGTCGGATTTCCGATGCACCGCCAATATTTCATGCGTGCGAACGTTTGGAGGCCGTACAACCCTTACTATAGAGGACCCTGAAGTCCAGAAAGTATGCGACAGTGAATCATGGACATATCGCAGCACCACAGCGGTCGCCGAGTTGCGCCGACGACGTCGAGTCCAGGAGTGACGGTTTCACTTTTTTCCCACAATTCGCGGTTGCGCATATCTAATCACCCGTCTCTCAAGAATTTGAAAGCTTTGTACATAGGCGGTGTGTGCGCTACGCCAGCAAGAAGGGCCCTCAAAGCATGCGGGAAAGGTGGCAACCATAACGCCTTGGCTGCAACCTTCAAGCTTGCACCCGACCTACGGCGAAAATGACGGAACAAAATGGGTCAAGCAGCGACGGAACAGGCGCGCAACAACAGCTGCTGCCTCGGCACCGCTACATGCTGCAAAAGGTCGATGCCGCGTTTGGTATCTATGACGAGCTCTCGACCGAAAGCATGTTCCTACAGTCGGGGGTGATCGACAAGGTACGCAAACTACATGTATGCCGTAGCATTGTCTATTGCAAATAGCAGCAGCGGATGAGCCTTCACCACCGTTTGTTGGGGGACTTGACTCGGTACAGAATTGGTCCGCACCGAACGAAAGATGCCTCCAGTGTATATTTTACTCGTACTCGCCGGCACCGCTCTTAACACAGAATAACAAGGGTAGACTGTCATCCGTTTTCCGGTATTTCGCGTATCATGACGGGTCCGTAAATCGTGAGGGGGCACTCCAGGAAGACATCATCACATTGGCAGCAACGCTCCAAAGCCAGGCCCACATGGTCATGCAGATGCAGCAGTCCTGCCGCAGACATTGCATGCTGTGCACCGCGTAAGCGGTGCGAAAGTGTGCGTGTAGCACGAGTTCCCCTTCCTGCAATTTACCCGTGGTCTACATACTACTTGGAAGCGCGCACATGCAGTACTCCAGTGAAGCTGCATATGTGTGCAACACTTTGTGGAAGGCTGATTTGCAAAGCTCGCGGAACAACAGTAGGTGACGTTGTATACCACCCCCCATCTTTGCACGATTGAATGTTCTTACGGATTCTCAATGTTCAATTGACAGAGGTATTGCGACACTCCCAGCTGACTGGATCATGGTATAAGATGCAAGTACAGATTTTGTAAGTAACACTCATCGCCTTGGGGTTAGGGTTGCGAGTTATCACACAGAAAAAAAAACGCTCTTGGCATATAGCAGCGCCACCCCAGAACGAATCTTCCTCCGCTGCTTTGGTATGTTTCTGGTGGTCATACTTTTCGTGCTTGTACTCCCGAATTGCGCACGCGATTCCTCTTGTCTGTGATTCACGCTTTTTGTCATCTGTTCGTGACAGCACTTTTGTACGAGGATGGCTCTATTTCAACGGGCACACAGGTTCCTTGAACAATGCTATTGACTTGACAAACCATCATGACGTCAAACAGAACTTTTGGGGCATCATGACGCCACCATTTTGAGTTAACCAAAAGCTTATATCCTTCTCTCTACAGTCGACGAGCCTGTTTTCTACACGGATCAACGGCCGAGGTTTTCCAGAGATGAGGGTACCTCTCGCCGAGGGTTCCTGTTGCGACCTTCCTGTAACCCACCGAAACACGCCCGCCTGCATTGACCCGCAGGTAAACCGTTTTTTTCAGGCCGACGCGCCAGGCCAAATCTTCTTTGAACATCGTCTGGGCCCGGCCCCGAATGCCGACCTTTCTCCTGCCACCACCTTAGAGGGTTCGGAAACGCATGGTACTCGCCGTGTCAGCGCCATCCGCGCAAGACGTGGCAGTGTGGGCGCGCGCCGGTTTTCGGGCCTCGGCATGATACCCTCCTCTGCAACAGTCGAGGGTTCCAATTTTGGCACCGAACCCGAAGACGCCGGTGCTCCAGATTCTGCCGTAGGCGGTGCGAACGGGGTCGGAGATGGAGGTGAGACGGGTGGCGGGGTTTCGGTAAAGGAGGCGTCCGGGCATCTCTACGCCGGGTTTGGGGAGGGGCTCACAACAAGGTCGCCCGTGGTGTACTTCGTGAAGATGAGGCACACGGGCGCGGACGAGTGCGCGGCGCCCATCGACCCGTACAAGGTCGACGACGGCGCCCTCACGTTTGGCGTGGTGTCCCATCCGCTCCGGGCGTTGGAGAGCATGGTGAGGACGGTGTACCGGCCAACGCTGGAGGGGCAGGACAGCAGGCTCTGGGGCAAGGCTACGCCGGACCTGGTGCACGAGTTCATGGTCGGTTTGGACGGTTTCGTCGACAACCTGCAGCAAACGATCAAAAACCTGGGTGGCGGGCTGGAGCTGAGAAAGCCGGACGCGCTCCACGAGGGTGAAACGGGCGGGGTTAGCGGGGGCGGGGCGGGGGCAAAGGCGGCGGCGAGGGATCCGGAGGTGGTATCGCACTACGTGGAGCTGCTGGAGGAGTGGTGCTCCAAGATACGCTTGTGCTTGGACGACAGCGACCGCGCCAGCTCCGAGAAGGTAAACTCGGGGCCCGACACGGAACTGGACTATTGGAGACGACGGGCCCAGCGACTCACCAGCATCACGGAGCAGCTCAAGACCAAAGCTTGCAAGGTGGTCATCGGTGTGCTGCAGCAGGTGACCTTTCAGACTGAAACTGTTTCGGCAGACCTCGTGTCTGTGTGACCTATCCAGACTTCCACCACGACAACCGCAGCTGTGGATCAATGTCGCTCAAAACCCTACACTCGCGCTGATAAAGACTACGATGATTCATGTTTATTTTAATTTTGTACAGGTGACAAAACAGGCAGAAGACGTGCTGATCGATCGGCAGAAGGTCTTCACCTTGGTAAAGCAGTGGCGAAAGATCGACGTCGACATCACAGAAGCCGCGAACGAGGCGAAGGACAACGTTAAATATCTCGCTACTCTTGAGCGTTTTTTGGAACCCTTGGCTAGCGGAGACCTCGACCAGATTCTCGAAATCCTGCCGGGGCTGATGAACGCGGTTAAAATGGTGCACACGATTGCCAGGTACTTCAACACGACCGCGCGAATGACAAAACTCTTCATGAAAATCACAAACCAGCTCATCGAGAGTTGCAAAGACGCTATCAACGGCAAGGAAGCCCCGGAGAAAATATGGGACCAAGACCCAGGACCGTTACTAGAGCTTCTAGAGCAAACTCTCAGGCTCAACGAGCGCTACCAGGAGCTGTATCAGAGCACGAAGGACCGCCTTCTGGCCATGCCGAAGGGAAAGCAGTTTGACTTTAGCGAGGCACAGATCTTCGGGAGGTTCGACTTGTTCTCAAGACGGGCGATCAAGCTGATCGACCTGTTCAGTACAATCCAGCAGTTCAAGAAATTGCAGGAGGTAACGTCCCGAGAACGGATGTTGTTTTTCTTTCGTGCCGTGCCCTTTTCGACGAGGAGCTCTTGTGTGTCTTGACTATATCTGGATGACTTTTAACACTCCCAGTTCTGCAAGTGGCTGGTAGGCCGACCAGTTGATTAATGCGCTGCTGCGAAGGTTTTAGGGATTGGTTTACTGAATGGCGTGCATTGTGTAACGTGTTTCTTTTTTGATGGGACAGGCCCGCATTGAAGGAATGGAGCCGCTTCTCGACGGATTCAAAACGGCCGTCATGGTTTTCCGCGTGAAGGGGCACAACCTTCTGGACTACCACAGCAACCGTTTCGACCGAGACTTTGTCGAGTTCAACGTTCGAGTGGGCGAGCTGGAAGAGCAGCTGAGGGTTTTCATCAACAGATCGTTCGAAAGCCTGACCTCCATCCAGCAATCCCTGGCTCTCCTGGAGAAATACCAAACTGTGTTGCACAGGGAAGCTATGCGTCACGACCTTAACTCGAAGGTGATGGTGGTTTTCCACAACTACGGACAGGAGCTTGTGGCCGTCCAAGACGCCTACGAGCGCTACAAGAACTTTCCACCCACCGCCCGAAACATGCCCCCGGTGGCCGGGAACATCCATTGGTCGAGGCATCTCCTGAGGCGCATAGAGGACCCCATGGAACGCTTCCACGCTTACCCTGGGGTGCTGAACACGAAGGATTCTCGGAAGCTGATCAAGACGTACAACAAGGTTGCGCGCACGCTCGTGGCGTTCGAGTACATGTGGTACGAGGCTTGGTGCAGAGCCGTAGAAGCGGCCAGGGGCGGGCTCACGGCGACTCTCATCATCAGGCACCCCAAGACTGGGCGCCTGTACGTCAACTTCGACCCTGAGATCCTGCAGCTTATCAGGGAAGCGAAGTGCCTCGTCCGGATGGGCGTCAGCATTCCCGAGGGCGCGAAGATGGTCCTGCTTCAGGAGGACCGTTTCAAGAACAACTACAACCACCTCAAGCATGCCCTGCGGGAGTACGAACGGGTCGTCAAATCCATCGCCCCGGTGATGAGACACCTGTTGAATCCCCACGTGCAGGCCTTGGAGGCGCGCGTGCGGCCGGGCTGGATGGTGCTGACGTGGACGTCGATGAACATCGAGGGGTACCGAGAGTCGGTGCATGAGGGGCTGAGGAGGCTAGAAGAGCTAATCGCTAAGGTCAACGATATCGTGGAAAATAGAATAGAGAATAACCTCAAGATTATCAGCAGAGCCATGCTGGTTGATCTACCCGTGGACCGAGCCGTGACGCTGGAGGACTTCGTATCAATGCAAGAAGAGTGCGTAAAGACCGTCACCGATAAGCTCGTCGAGAAGAACAGGGAGGTGGAGACGGCTGTGGAGGATCTCATCACCGTTGCGGAGGATAGGGGAACGTCATCTACGGACGAAGAAGCGTTGTCTGAGCCGGCGGCGGAGCTGAGGAAGCACTACAATGGGCTCATGTACAGGGCCGTGCTGGCTTGCACGAAAACCAGCCTCAACATAATCAAGACGAGGGCACATGCAAACGTAACACCCGTGGCAACAAGCAGAACTGCATCACCCCGATCCTCCAACGCACATGCATTTGTGGCAAATCAGTTGTCGACGTTGTGTCTACCCAACCAAAAGGCGTTCAGACTTGTAGAGCGGACCCCAGTTCGTACATTGTATACTTCCCAAACTGCCCTCCTCGCCCGAGGGTGCCTTCAGCCCGAAACCTTGGTCCAGCTTGCTTCGAGGCCAGCCATCCTTCTCCGCTCTTCGCGCGCAAACGATTTCACCTCTGGCAGAGAAACGGCAGCGACACCGGCGAAAAGAGTGTCGCCTTCTTCGAGCTCGACGTCCAGCTCAGCGTCCCCAGCGTAAGCCTCCGTCCTACCCTGGAGGACGTGCAGGCAAGCATCAACAAGGCCGCGGTGAGCGTATTGGGGTGCTCTAAGCGCATGTATGACTGGGGGGAGGCCGGCGTCGCGGAGTCGGACAGGTTTTCTTTCTTCGAGGCCCTCGGCAGCGACCTGGAGATCATCAAGACGCTGCTCCTTCTCACAGGAGCGTCCTACGGCGCGGCTCTTCAGGTGGGCGAGACCCTTCGGGTGTGGCATAACAAGAGTATCACGGCGAACTATCCTTTGTCCTGCCTAGTTTCAGTCCCTCTACCTGCATGGTCGGATCTATGGCAATAACTATTTGGTAACCAGCTCGAAAGGAACTGTTTTGCACAAATCTTGTCGTTGCACCCGGGAGTCGGGATGGAGCATTTCAGATTCTGCTGAGGTAAGGGGGTTGGTGCACTACTGCTGTGAAGCGACGGGTGCCCCGCTAGCCACCTTCGGTGTCATTGTGTGAGCAGATGGCTCATGCCAACCGGTCCAGGAAAAGTGACTTGTATCCTCTATTTAACGCATGTTGCCTCGAGTACTTGAGTTTTACAATAGGACGAGCAAGCACAACTGGTAGAATTTAGTGATCTGAGAAGAAGAACAAGGTCGTACTAGTGTTGGTTGTTTTCACCGAAGAGCGCGCGGGTAAAAGCTGGGCCACATACTGCCACTGCTACCTCAGGTGTTCGAGTATTTGCGTGGGTTCCGCAAGTACGACTGGCTATGGAAGGAGGATAAAGACGTGCAGTACAAGAGGTTTGTCGCGTCCCACCCGGCCATCGGTGACTACGAGGCAGAGCTCGCCAAGTTTCTGGACATCGAGAGCGAGATTGAGGCGGTTCCCACCTTCCACAACGTTGGAGCTCTGACCCTGAACACGACAAACCTGAAGCTTCAGCTCGGCAGCGAGTCTCGCCAGTGGAAGATTCAATATTCCAACAAGGTATGGAGTCGTGCCGGACGGTCCTAGAAGGGAGATAATAGGCATCAAACCCATATAGTTATCATCCTATGTCAAGTCCGGAAACCTACAGCGCCGAAGAGTTGAGCAAACGAACGGTTTCTCCCGCCAAGCGAAATGGTAGACGACGCCTTGGAAGTGCCCGATTCTCATTAGTTTCCCCCTACTTAGATGAATGGGATGTAGTGGTTTTCATGTGAGATTCGTACGTAGCCTTGTGAGAACCAAAGTCGCCTCTCCAACATGTTGGGTCAGGTACACAAGCAAGCGCGGGACAGCATGGCGGCTCTAATGGACTACATCCGGGTCACGACGACGCGCCTTAACGTGGAGGTGGATAGCCTCGACTCGCTCAGATATGTCATGGTCGTCTTAAAGGAGGTGCGCTGAATTTACATTCCTCACTTTTAATGGGTGGGTAAGTTTTTGAGCTTTGAGATCAGGGTTCGTTTCGACGTGACGTCAGATGGAATCGTCCGTCATGGCTGGATGAACTGGAATTGCAAAGGCGTTTGAAAGGATGTTGAAATGCAGCGTATCGTGAACAGAAGCGTGGACCACAAGCATGCAGGGACTCTAGTGTGCTTACTGTATTCGTTGTGTTCACGTGTATGAGGATCGGTTCTCGGCGCCATTTGCTCTCCACCGCGATAAATTGGTTCGTGAGCGAGCTAGGAATAGTAGTTTGTGGGGACTCTCGTGCACCTGACAATGCGTTGCGTAGATGGCGATGGGGGTCGATCCTCGGCTCCTCTTCTTCTCGGTTTACGATAAATAGGTTCGCGAGCGAGAGTCAAGCATCGAAATGGAGATCACGCCCATCTTGGACATGTACCAGATGCTAGAGCACTACCTCCCCGGAGGACTGGTGGACAAGGTGAGCAGAAACCCTCACCCCCAAAGTCCTTACTTGTTGAACTTAGGAGTCCTTGTGGAAAGGCAGTATTCGTTCTTGTTGGCAACGTAGTGATCAAACGTCGAAGGAAAACGGTGGTGGCGCTGTGTCTTGTATTTTGCGGGAATGACAGCACGCCTCAACAAGAACGGGGAGAGCTCCACTATTCTTGCCAAAGCAGCTCGAGACCTGCTTATTGGTTCTCCGTTTCTCGAATAATGAACACTGTCAATCTAAAACTTCTCCTTCAGAAACAGGTATTGTGTGCGTTTTTTCCGAGGAGGAAAAATAACTTTTTCTAGCTGACGTATCCCAAAGCAACAACCGCGCAAGGACTCTTACGGTGAGGCTCAGGTAGAAACACTCTTCGTTTGGCCGAACGAAATAGGGATGACCATCGTATGCTAGGAAGGGTGTAAACGAGGAACCGAACTGCACCTGTGTTTTTCCCTCCGGCGAACTCGATGAAAACACTCTTCATTCATCGCAGTCTATGTCGATTCGCGTTAAGGCATGTGTCTCGGTCTATGAACACAACACTCCCATTTGGTATGTGGAACAATTCAGACTTCAGGACAACGAGACCCGCAAGAGATAATCCCTTTCGATGGGCAAGGTGCGGGACTGCATCAAATACGATTACCATTGCGACCTCGAAATATTGTTGCACTAACGGGCACGGGCACGTAACACGCCGGACCTACGTTCTTGCAGGAGGAGATTGATCAGAAAAGCGTTATTAGGCTCACCTGGAGAAAACTGCTTGAGTTGTGCGAGAGGGTGACGGACATGTTGCACAGTGTCCAGGGCAAGTACAAGAAGCAGCTTGTCAAAAACGTCAAGGTGGGCGCCGATTGTGAGACCGATTTTTGGGGTCGGGTTACGACTCTATAAGGGAAAGCTTGTTCCCGACTGTCACATCAACGTCCGGAGATAGAATGGCTGAGCTGTGCAAGAGCTACCAGACGCCTAGAGTACCGCGCGCATGTGTTCTATTCTCGGAAATGGATGATACTGCTTGTGGTGGGTGTTTGAAACAGTTGGTGAGGTGGATGGTTGCGAAAAGTTTGTTGTTCATTTCGTTTGGCTCTTGCTAACAACAACCCGGGACTTTTGCAGCCAGTGTCGTGCCTTGCCGCCTTTCGTCCGATGACTTGGGCACGATGGACGTCCAAAGAGGGCACATGACGTACACCCTCGAAGAGCTAATTACACTATTGATGTCTTCATTTCCAGGAGTTGAAGGAGGACGTGCGCAAGTTCCGTAGAGAATGGGAGACGTCAGGGCCGATGGTACAAGGAATTTCGCCTCTGGAGGCGGTGGAGAGGTTGAGGAGGTTCAAGGAGGAGATGCAGCTTCGAGAGCGGACGGTAAGCAGCTGGTACTGAAAACGATCTCCGTTGACCGCAACTCGACTCAGTTGAGGCGTAAACTTACACGATATTTCTCGAAACGGAGACTTGACAAGACGCGTCCACCTAGCAAAGAGCAAGCCACTCAGAGATTCGCCAGAAACGAGATGAATGTATCGAAAATTCACGAAGCCAATCCAAGTGTGTCATAGGGGTGGACTACGTGGCGAGTTCTGCTTCGATTTGTTGGGTTGCTCGTACCACACGAGCATACTAACAATCTCTTGTCGTCCTTCGCTCGTACATGCGTGTGCTACATCACTTGGAAGGCCGAGATGTACACTGCCGGGGAGGAGCTGTTCGCCCTCAAGATCACAGCACACCCAGACCTCGTCAAGATAAAGAAGGAGTCGTCCCTGTTGGACCAGCTGTATGGTCTTTACATGGACGTTCTCCAAACGCTAGAAAGGTCGGTGACGCGTTAAGATTATTTTGTGCTATGTATATTGGTTTTGCTTGTCGTTCGACGATGCAACACAAACGCATCTACGGTCATTGTGCAACTTGGTCGTGGTATGTCTCAGGGCAGCTACATGGCTCTGCTCTATCGCCGTCTTGCAAGTGCTCGAGAGCTACGCGACAAGACTGTTCCTACGTGGTTCCTTGCGACATTGGTACAGCATTCTACGCGTGGGCGTGGTGCTTGTGTCTGCCGCATACCGTGGCAGGAACAATACTCAAAGCGACCGCAAGTTTTGAAGTTTAAAGAGGGAATCATGTACATGCCTATTTGGGAAACCAACTTCGATAGTAGAGCATACCCAGCACGGCAATTCCACGTAAGAAAACAGCAATAATTGAAAAAACTGCAATCGGCCGTGAGATCGGTTGAAAGCGCAAGCGCAAGCGTCTTATTCAGAAACCGCACAAGATGAGCAGCAGATCACTCTGGCTTTGTGTTTCTTGTATCACCAGCATGGCTAGCTCCTGCCAAGAGAGTCGCGAACAACGTGGGTCAACACCAAGCTAGCGAATTCAGTGTAACCCTTGCGGACCCTCTCCGGATTAGAAGCACCCGTGCCTAACTTCCCAGCTCACGGTGATGAGAAAGGATATTTCCATATGTGAAAGGAATACGATATCGACACACTCGCCTTTCATTCTTGATTCTGTAGTCAAATATAGTCTACCAGCAAGCAACGATAGGTTCTATGGACGTCTGCCGAAGGCGAGCTTATGGAGTTTTTCGGAAAATGCTATATGTAGCTTACACAGAGACAGCCACGAACAGATATTACAACAACACCACAACCAACAACAATAATATCCAGATACAGAGAGGTGTTGTGGAGTTCAGCGGGAGATGAGCTGGTCGCCATGTCGGAAATGGTGGCATCCTTCGACTCGCGTTGCAGGAAGATGCCCAAGAAGCTTCGGGAATGGGAAGCGTTTCAGGTTTGTTTCCTCTTGTGCTTGAAATCTCCTATTAGAATATAGGGCGTTGTGCCAAATTTCACGTCGACGGGCTTGCTTCGATACCATCAACAAGGACGGAGATTACCACGTTGTGCTTATTGTTTCAAGGTTATGATTGGGTTTCGATCAACACATGCGCGAAGGTAGCTGTACGGGTAGGAGTACAAACGACAGTCAGCCGCAGAAAGGTGTGTGCAGAATCGTGTTAAACGCGGCTGAGCCTCTTCTCCTTCCTCTTTGCGCCGCTTCTCGAACAAACTCAGGATGCTATTTTCAGTTATTTTGCCTCGCACCAATGAATCCCCCCCGCCACGATTCGTGGTCAATGGTCCGCTAAGGCACGCAAAACATAAGAGTCCCCCCCCCCCCCCCCCCCGCCACGATGTCTTTTGTTTTTTCAGGTATTGTTGCGCAAGATAACCGACTTTCAGGAGGTCCTTCCAATAATCGAGAACCTACGGAAGCCGAGTGTCAAGCCGCGGCATTGGCAAGAGGTGATGGACATCACCAAGACCAACTTCCCTTACGAAAGCGAGAACTTCAGCCTCGCGAACATCATGGACAGCCCCATCCTGCAGTTCAAGGACGATATCGAGGAGGTGCGTGCGCAACGCACCGGCTGTTAGGTTGCCCTGTGGTGGTGTTGAAGAAGGGGGGGAGGCAAGGGGGGGGTGTCTACATTGTCAATACTCTAGCACATATTTTCCCGTGAGAAAGGGGCAGCGGAAATGTCCACCATCTTGCACGTGATGAAGAAACGTTGCTGTTGGAATCGATCAGCGCATTCTCCGTCCTCTCGCCTCCACCCCGATTGGTCGATCATCGCGGAATTTCTGGTGCTCGATCATGCAATGGTCCTTGGCGCGCGGAATTGCGAATCAGATCTGTGAAGGCGCCGACAAGCAGCTCTCGATCGCTGAAAAGCTCGATGATATCACGGACCAGTGGGATCATGCTGCCTTCGAGTTCACCCCGTGGAAGAGCAGAGGAGTGCCCGTCTTAAAGGTGCAGATGAACAAGTAGGTGGAAGAAGTGGTTCAGAACAAAGCCAGACGAACCTTTCCCAGTATCCAAAGTTCCTAGGATCGTGGGGCCAGAAGACGGTTATTATATACTCCATGCGTGAAACAGGTAGACTCTACTATATGTGTAGACGAATAAGGGTCACTAAAGAGAGCGTTATGATGACTGGCTTCAGGAGTAAAACTAAGACAAACCACGTAATGCATTACCTGCTGCAATCCTGTGGGGTGGGTCAGGCATATGGCGTCATTATCGAGGAGCTGGAAGACGCCCAGCTGCAGCTGCAGACTTTGCTATCCATGCGCCACGTGACACCTTTCAGAGAGATTGTCCAGGTGGGATTTGTTGAATTTTGGTATCGTCAGTAGTGTTAGACGAGGATAAACAACATTCGTTACAGTCCAACAGTCTCGGCAGTGAGTGCGTCACGGGATATTATCCAGACGCCCCGACGAGGAATTCCTGGTGACGGACGGTACAGCAACGGCCGCGAGGCACGTTGCAAGAGGAGTGGAAGGGAAGAAACATGTGGTTGGTTGAGCAAATAGGTACCGTTTACTGGTGACTGGTGAGAAAAGGAGAAAAGTAAACCATGACGCACGAAGGCCCCCCGGTGCACATGTTTCGCGGGTTTCCGTCAATCTGTTCCCCTAATCCGCGAATACTGTCGCCACAAACGCGCCTTGCCGTAAAGGCCTTCACGGACGCCGTCGCTCAAACCCGTTCATACATAGGGCGTGAGGGTGAAATGGCAAGGAATTTTGCCAAGCGGTAGAACGTAAATTGCCACCGGTTCGACGCCCGCCACTCTCCCTCCTCTACAAGCTGTTTCTTGTTGTGTTCGAGTTGTTTCAATCGGTGACGACACACGATAATCCAATCTTGTATCTTCGTCTTCCGCTCTATTTTTTGTTCTTCGTTACCCCGCAGAACAAGCTGAACGATCTGAGCAACGCAACGGACAGCCTGGAGCTTTGGGTCAAGGTGCAGCTGCTGTGGACAAGCCTAGAGTCCGTGTTCATGGGTGGGGATATCGCCAAGCAGATGCCGATCGAGGCCAAGAAGTTTGTGAAGATCGACAAGGATTGGGCCAAGACCATGATAAAAGGTGCGACTGGGGTTGAGCGCCGCACCGTAAAGGATGCGCGTTATAGAGCGCCACCCGCACAACGTGGTGTTTTGAAGCAAGGCAAACACCATAAGAAAACGTGGGTTGACGTCGGTATCTGCAAGTGTTTGTTGCCTTCGGTCGAAATTCCCCGATACCAAGACCGCTTCGGACTCACTCATCATCAGCTGACAAAGTGACACTTCTATGATCCACATCAAAACGCAATAATACACGCTACACCTTATACCGCCTTGTTGTCCACAAGTTCGTCTCGAAGTGCCACACACCTCGTGATGATATGGTAAAATCGCATCTCCCATCCCCCCGATACCGGGAAAGTCTTCTTGCAGTGCGCTCTGCCTTATTGTGTTTTGGCACGTTCCGCCGGGCGCGTCCAAGCTCCTCCTGACGGCATACGTATTCAATCATTCATCATGGGCTGCGCTACAAGCGAGATCTGTTCACGACGCTCCCGGCCGCTCTCGCTCGGGCTGTAGAAACGTGCCTAAGCGTATGATCGAAACATGCCTTGCCTACTGCCGGTCTTCAACCCCATCATCACCTTGCCCATTGCTTCGGCGCAACGTAAACAGCGGAAGAAACGGAGAAAGTGATCATGTGCTGCGCCAGCGAGACCCTGTGTACGACGCTTCCGGTGCTGTTTCTCGAGCTTGAAAAGTGCCAGAAGAGTCTGGAGGGGTACCTGGAGCAGAAGCGGTCGAGGTTCCCCCGCTTCTACTTCGTGTCTAACCCTGTGCTGCTACTGGTGCTCAGCCAGGGGTCAGACCCAGTGCAGATGCAGCCGTACTACGAGAAGGTGTTCGACAGCATCAGCCAGGTCTTGCACGACAAGAAGTGAGTGTCAACTCCAGACGGAGACTGTACCATGGCGTGGTCTTGTGGCGACAACCTCTGTAGTTGCTTGTTCTTGAGACAGTAAATACCGATTCACAGGCGGCGCTAATGGCATGCTTCAATAGATTCGTCCCCAAAAACGTGCGTCTCTCTCCTGCTGCCGAGCCAAGACAACTCGTCGTACACTACCTGACCCACCATGACTGTGTTTTGCCCTTGATTTTCATTTAGTTTCGCTTTGGTGGGACTGATCGTGCCCGTCACCGCGAATATACCTCAGGGAGAAATCGTCCATCATCAGCATGGTCAATATTGCCGGGTCAGATGAGGAAACAATATCTTTTTCCAAACCCGTCAAGGCCACGGGCAACATCGAGGACTGGTTAGGAGCGCTCGAGAAGGGGATGCAGGTGAGAGCTGTCCCTGAAATCGAAGCAGTAGCACCTAAAGTACAATCCGGTCACGGTGGTAAGGACATACAGAGCCGGCTACATACCGGCATGGCGCTTTGCGCGCTCTTTTGGATACAGCAGTTGGCTGCTGAGAGATGGACCTGACCGACAATATATTGCCTCAAAGCCTATTCGACATTGATCATTGTGTCGTGCTAAGAGCCACGTGTTCGTATTGTCAGGTGTCGCTGAAAAGCCTAGCAGAACTCGCGGCCGTACAATGCACCCTCATGCCGCTCCGGCAATTCGTCGACTGCAGCTGTGGGCAGTTCGCCCTTCTGGGTCTGCAGTTCTCATGGACCGCACAGGCAAGTACTGTAGTGCAGGCTCCACGTGAAACTGCACACGCCCCTTGCTGTAGCCGGCTCCCCAAGATCGATTATTACTCGACGACAATGGCGGTAGAAAAACGCTTAATTAATACATTTGAGGGAACTCCTCACGAAGTCTTCGGAGCCCTTTCTTGTTAGGAAAGGGAACTTTTTGTGCCGTGGGAATGGAGGTCATTGCAACCTGCGGAGGCGGATACGTCTTACGTCCTAAGCGTTTTTGGCGTGTGTTCTGGACAAAGAGGGAGTGTTCCCCAGGTTCAAAAACGCACATCGAAGTTATTCCTGCTGGCAGCATTTCGTCAGAAAGAACCACCATGACTCTATGATGTTGGTTTACGCCCCATGTTGAGGGAGAGCTAGTTGCTGTTGTTGGGTACGTACATGATTGCCATGAGCGTGTGTGCAGGTGTATCTGAACTTTCTACGACCAGGTGCCCTCAACGTTCTGGTTGCTAGTCCGTTTTGGCTTCTACCGCATAGCATCTAACACCACCGTTGAGACATCTGGCCGGATTCGCAGCAACAAGCGAGCTCGGCCGACGGTGCCAGGACCCACAACGACACACCGGGGTATCAGCAAAAGCTGCAGACGTATCTCTCAATGTAGAGCGTCACGAACAAGACTAGTTGTTCTTGCAGTAGACCTCGACAGCGTTGTACGTGTTGTGAGAATCGTCTCCTCTTCACCTTCCCGGCGGAAGCCATTTCCTCAAAGACGTGAGGGGCGATGAATACTGTCCGTTTTTAACGTGGGCGTCAATAACAAGGCCGTCTGCAACTGCGTGGTACACGTTTCTGTCGCGATCATGGCGCTCATCTCAGCGACTGGTTTGCTACCGAAACGCGCAAGCGACTGAAAAACGAAACTCTTGTCGATGTATGCATAACGTGCAGTGTCAAGAGGCCCTGGACAAGTGCCGCACCAACAAAAGCATCATGAGCGAGACCAACCGCGGCCAGCTTGGGGTTCTGCAAGAGATGAGCTCCTGGTGCCTGCAGGACCTCGGCACCAAGATGAACAGGACCAAGATCGAGACTCTTGTCACAATTCAGGTTGTCCGTGTTCTTGTTTTTGCATTTTTTGTCGTTGTTGCCGTGGTACTCGCCGTTCATCATCCTGGTCGTGGTAACGATTGTGGTCATGTTGAGGTTGGGGTTGGTGCGGGTGTTGTGGTTGGCCTTGGTGTTGGTGACATCGTTGTCGTTTTGGATGTGATTGCTCCACACAAAAAACTACCCTCTCAGCATGGGTATGGAGGTCTCTGAATGGGGGCCTATGTTTATTTCCTGCCCAACATACAGCGCACCCCGAGCCCTCCATCAGTACAACAATATCCTTTAACTTAATAAAAACCTTTAACTTACAGGTGCACCAGCGCGACGTTTTCATGGACTTGACCCGGCTCTACAAGGAGCGCAAGATACACAGCTCTATGGATTTCGAGTGGCTCAAACAGGCTCGTTTTTACTGGAGGCCGGGCGAGGACGACGCCCACGGCGCTGGCAGCTGCGCCATCTCCATCTGCGACGTCGACTTTAAGTACCGGTTCGAGTACCTGGGGTGCAAGGTGAGTCCATCGCTGGGATAGGTCTTCGGATAGTTTCCCTGAGAAGCGACTAAGAATTGTACATCTAGTGCTGCTGCTGACAATGATGATGACGATGACAACGGAAGCGATTTGAGAAAACACCTGCATTTATTGGCATCGAGTTAATTCCTCTGGTCTACCGGATGTTTCTTCCCCAATGCTGCACTCAAAGCGCCATTAACTATGGTCTTCGTGGCAAATAACGCACACCAACACAACCATCAAAATGACTTGTCGACCGACATTGGCCAACCGCAGGAACGACTGGTGATCACTCCTCTCACGGACCGGTGCTACATCACGCTTTCCCAAGCGCTGGGGATGTTTCTGGGGGGTGCACCCGCGGGCCCTGCCGGAACGGGGAAAACTGAAACCGTCAAAGATTTGGGAAGGTCGCTGGGAAACTTCGTGGTGGGTTTCCCGAATAGTTTGGTGCCCATTGTGAGTAGTGTAATGAAGCTTTCGGCGAAATCGCACTACAACAATATATGACAAAATATGTGTGCTTTTGTGAACGCTGCGAACGTTTGAACCTACAGCTGAAACGAGAAACTTTTCGATGCCAAATTCCTGCTATCCCTCGTTCATGCTATCACCGCACACACGCGCAGGTCGTAACCAATTGTACAGACCAGCAGAGATACACCGACATGGCCAAGATATTCAAAGGACTGTGCCAGGCCGGGCTGTGGGGCTGCTTCGACGAGTTTAACCGGATCGAGTTGCCTGTGCTATCTGTAGTCGCACAGCAGGTATGTGCCGTACATGACGGGTCACGTACAGCGCTATCTTTCCATTTCGGCATGTTTCGTAGGACAAACCTCTGGCGCATGATCACTCAGCGGGGTTCCTCTCCCCGATCGCTGGTAGACTTGATGGGAATCATTGCCCACGGAGACAACTATCAACGAGCTAGGGGAGGTTTATGGCCATGGCCTTGCATGTAGTGTATGCTGGCGTTGGACACCTTTGCAGTTTATCTCTGTATTGAAACATGCTCTGGCCATCACGAAGGTAAGGCGCTTAGATCACGGGTCTGACTATCGTGTACATCGCCCGTTTTTCTTCGTCGGTATTGTGCAACTCCCCAAGGACAAGTTTCACAATTCCCCCGTACACGTGATCAACCCGTCCCTTAACACCAGCAAGACCCTATTCTATTGCGTTGTAGGTGCTGGCCATCACGAACGCGAAGCGTGTAGGTGCGAAGGAATTCGTCTTTCCGGGCGACAGCCAGGTCATCGGGCTCAAGCGGGACGTGGCCTATTTCATCACCATGAACCCGGGCTACCAGGGCCGGCAGGAGCTCCCCGAAAACCTGAAGGTGCACACAGGAACCGGAGAACGCTCGGAATACATGGGGGGGGGGGGCTCCTGCAAAATAAGTGCACTCTTGCTTCGGCTGCAATAGCGCAGACACGTGGTACTCTCTTGATTTTTTTTCCGTGGTGATTCTTCTTTTCGAGACCTTTTTTAACCTGTAGTTCTGTCGACTATATATACCTACCGTGTGTTGATTTGCCTTGTTCGATCTCCTGCAAAACATTTCGCACCCTGGCACACCCACCTCCAAGGTCCTTTTCCGGTCGGTGGCGATGATGGTACCCGACCGAGAGATCATCATGAAGGTCAAGCTTTGCTCGGTGGGGTACCAGGGCTTCTCCGACCTTGCTCGCAAGTTCAACGTGCTGTACGCCCTGTGCGAGCAGCAGCTGTCCAAGCAAAAGCACTACGACTTTGGCCTGAGGAACATTCTCAGCGTTCTCAGGTGAGATAGTGTTGTGAGATAACATAAATATATGTAGACTACGTTGTTAACAAAATGTGTAAGGTGGTAGATGGATTACGTCAGTTTTTCCGCTCCAGATCCCTCTCTCAGCCAACGTGAAGCTGATGTCAACCTTGTTTGGGTTGTTGATGAGCGATTGAAGTGGTTGAGTCGCTGTGAAAAAGGCTTGATACCGTGGCACATCATCACCCCAGCGTCGTCAGGTGCATTTCTAGAAAAAATACGAGCTGTGCCATGCCTTCGCAGGACGGCCGGGAAGACGAAGCGGGACAACCTCGACGAGAACGAGGATCTCTTGCTCATGAAGACCCTGAGGGACATGAACCTCTCCAAGCTTATCGCTCAGGATGTGCCCCTCTTCCTCAGCCTGCTCGGAGACTTGTTCCCGGCCGTTGTTGCGGGGACGTCGGGGGACGCTCACGCAGAGGTACGAACGCTCAGCTAGGGGAGATTTGGTTTTCTGCGCCATTTCTGGAGTTTTTGCTGTCTTTGTTGTCATTGTTTTTGTTTGGTAATAGATGTGGCCTTTCCTGTGTTCCTCTGTGCAGGTCCGCTGCTGCTGTACAGCTTGTATTTTTTCCCCACTGTGACCCCTTGTCCCTTGATCCTGACAACCTACTCCCAACCCATCCCCTCAACTCATCGAAAGGTGGAGTCAGCGGCAAAATCGTTCATGGACAAGGAGGGCCTTGTTGCCCACCCCTCTTGGTGTCTCAAAGTCATACAACTCTACGAGACCACGCTCGTTCGGCACGGGGTAATGATGGTTGGACCACCGGGTTCCGGAAAGAGCAGCACGATCAGCACGCTACAGGTGATGTCTCGGCAACAAGCGGCCCGCGTGGGCTGGCCGAACGCTTACCTATTTATACTTCATCCCGAAAAGCGCAACGGTTGAAACCAACAAAAAACATTTCGGCGAGCGGACCACGCGACGATCAAAGTTCACCGTGAGCCTTAGTTATCATCCTATCGCCTGAAATACCCGAGAGAGTACCCGCGTAGGCGCATTGGGGTCAAAGCGCTTGGCGTTTCAATCCAATCCCAGCCCACCCTTCACGGAAGTACCAATCAATCCAATCCCAGCCCACCCTTCACGAAAGTATCGATTGGTTCTCTCATTCCCTCGCTGGTCTGGTGCGTGCTTTCTGTAAATTTCCGCAGAGTGCTCTGACGAAGACGACGGGGGTGCAGCACAAGCCTATCCGCATGAACCCCAAGGCCATCCGCGCCGAAGAGATGTTCGGGGAGACCAACAAGGCCTCCGGGGAATGGGTGGACGGCGTCTTCGCCGCGATGTGGAGCAAGTTCAACGATCGCAATAGGAAAGATATGCAGGTGAGAGTTATTCATACACACAGGCGGCGGGAGGCGTGTATTTTTTTTGTTCGGTCACCAGTTTGCGGAACGGTTTTCACGTCAGCCCAACGAGAAAAACCCCTAACCGAAGCACCACAAGCAGTACCTCGTCGCAACTGACACCCAGGGCACGCTTAAGTCAGAATCTTCAACCTATTTCCTGCCCAATCGTAGCGATCTCGAATACATGACCCACACTCTAGCTGAAGCCATACCCGCCCTTTGTGATCCACGCTATTCGATGCGTACACACCTTTCACCATCGCCCCACAAATACGACAATGATCAACAACAGTGGATCATCTGCGACGGGCCAGTGGACGCCATCTGGATCGAAAACCTCAACACCGTCCTCGACGACAACAAAATCCTCACTCTGGCCAACGGCGACAGAATTCCAATGACCGACAACGTCAAGCTCATCTTCGAGGTGGAAGATCTCCGAAACGCGTCTCCGGCGACGGTTTCGCGCGCCGGTATCATATACGTCTCTGACAGCGATCTCGACTGGAAGCCAGTGATGGAGAGTCGCCTCAAGAAGCTCCCGCCGGGGAGGGGGGACATCCTGCGAGAGTTTTTCAGGTTTGGAGTCTCGAGATGTTCGTCGAGTCAAATTTTGACAAACCTGAAATTTCGACAACATGTAGGGATTTCTTCCGAGACAGGGAAGCGACGGTAACGTAGGTTACGCAAGAAAACACAGCCCCGGGACCGATTTTTATCGGTCAGTTGATCCACGACAACAAGAATGAAAAATCAAACGAAAAAATCACGGAAACTCTTGTGTTGCCTACGGTGGTTCTATGAGAGAAGGTTTCCTCAGGTTGTCGTTGTCCTTGGTGGTAGAGGTCGCGGTGGTTGCTCCGATTGCAAGCTACAATACACATAATGTTATTCATTTTCGTCCTGATGTGTTACCACAGAACGTCTGCAAAGATGCCGTACGCATGCTTCCATACTCGCCTTGGCCAGTACTGGCCGGTACGTGTATTTTTCACCCCATCAACTCTTTATTTGAATTTTCGGCTGTCTCTCAGGAAGTACGTGGGAGAGTGCCTGGGCCCGAAAGAGCCTGGACACCTGTTCGACTTCATCACGAGAACATGCCGCCCTGTGATGAACTGCACCCGCGTCGGTCAGATCGAGGTGAGGAAAGGCAAGACTGCAACAACCTCAATTGGTACAAAGGTCACCTTCTTTTGATGGTTGTTGTTGCTGGCAATTTTGGAGCAGCTAGTCTAATTTACTATGCAGTTAAGAGTATAATTAGGATGGGATAGGATGGGATGTGTTATCGTACTTTAAGACACGTTTGAGTCGACAGATCTTGAAACGTAGGGTCGCGATTCGACATCTATCTGTCAATAGTTGTCGAGCGTGACCCTGTCCCCCGTTGGATAACGAGAACCCTCCCCCAATTCGTTTTGTCTATCTGCGACTGTCTGGGAAGGCCACCATTCGTCTTCTTTCGGAGATGCTCGAGTCGTCGGACATGAGCCAAAGCCCCGAGGACGCCCGGGATGAGCTAGAGCGGCTCTTTCTCTTCAGCGTGTCGTGGGCGCTGGGTGGCTTGCTGGAACCCGACGAGCGCGTCAAGTTTGACCAGTACCTTCAGCAGTTGTGCCCTGAGAACATGCCCTCCTCTGGGGGGGCTGCGGCAGCCGCCGCGGCCGCTGCGAACGATGGCGACAGTGTTTCTGGTGGGTGTTTGTCCTGTTAGAATCAAGTTTCTCTCCCTCTTTCTCTGTCGCTCTTTTCTCCTTCACCCCCCCATTCTCTCTCTCCCTCTTTCTCTCCCTCCTCCTTCTCCTTCGCCCTCTCCCTTTCTCTCTCTGTGTGCGTCTCTCTCCCTCTCTCCATCCCTCTCTTCATCCCTCTCTCTGTCTTTCTACCTCTCTTCTGGAGTGTCAGAATGCTTGGGGCACCAATTCCATACTATATGTTCTGACACCGTGCTTATTGCGTTGACGTATTACGAGAACCACGCCGAGAGATGTGACCACGAGCCCCCAAGAGATGCTGTCATTGTGTCGTATCGCAAGATGGGCAGTATCTCAACTCCGTTGGCCTAGGAATACAAACCACACAACAATCATAGGTTCCGTACCTTGCGTCGGTGTTCTTTCAGAGGCCCGCCCGTCTGAATCTAGAATCCATGCCCGCCTTCTGGTGTGTGACTTTCTCGTCGAAGTCTTACCCTCACTTGTGCAGGAAGCGTTGCTCACCGTCGTGGTGATGATCCTTTCACACCTAGACCACACCACGATACCTATTGCTTTGCAACTTGACAGTGGCTTCAGCCCGTCGTTTTTGTTGTGACTGCTTTCATTGTACACAGGCAACTCGAACGTCTCCTCGCACAGCGGCACGGTAGGATCAACCGGTTTCGACATCAATCTTAGATGTCTCATTCATCTTCGCGGTTGTTCACCCTCCCCGTAGCTCGGTCGGCCAAACACTCCCCTGAATTCGCGGTTTTCGTAAAAGGAAGCCATACCTCGCTCATACACGCCCTACTAGCTCAAGAAATCGTTTCGCACTATTTCTGCCGGTGGCGCCAGCAGGGAACTCGACCACCTTCGCCTCGTCGGGATTGACTATCTTTGACTACTCCGTCAACCTGGACACCATGGCGTGGGAGCCGTGGGTGGTCCCGGCGTGGGAGTACCCCAAGGTCCCCGCCGAGGTTGACTTCCAGAGGCTGCTTGTGCCTACCGTCGACTCAACGCGCGCCCTGGCTATCATCAAACACCTCCAGGTACACAAGAGCGAAATAAGCAATCACATTTCGTGCCAGCGTCCAGGAGTGCCGATTGGGTGAACAAATTCCTGTACGCCAGTATCTGTGTGCGCACATCTCCCTTTGCATTCGTTATCGGTGGATAAGAACAAAGGCTTGGTTCTCGACTGCCCATTGCCTGTTCTCAATTTTATCCATGAGCTTTGGAAACGTCCAACGGCATTAGGAACGGACAGACATGCGAACGATATCTGCGACGTATTGGCAGCATGCAACAAACCAAAACAACCATTTGCCCCGTTAGATGCTGATATTTTCACACAAGTCTAGCAAACGCATTGTTTCGGTTCCATCTTCTCGCGTAAAATTGTCCCCAGAAACAACGCCATCCGGTCCTCATGGTGGGGGGGAGCGGCACAGCGAAGACGACGACGGCGCTGATGTACTTCGACTCGCTCACGAACGACTCCATGATGGTGAAGAGGATCAACTTCTCCTCGGCCACCACGGCGGGAATGTTCCAGTCTACCATCGAGGGGGAGCTCGACAAGAGGGGGGGCAAGAACTTCGGCCCTCCGTCCGGGTGCGGGATGACGGTGTTCCTGGACGATGTCAGCATGCCGGAGGTGCGCGAGAAAGAGTTGGGCGTGTGCTGTACGGGGCACAATATGGAGTACTCCATCTGTTTTAGCACGCGATGAAGAAAATTCAGCACTTCATCTTTCCAGACTTTCTGACCACTCCATACCAAGCCACTAGGATGCTGTTCAGCTGTAGCAAAGGCTGGCCTATCTGCTCCTCGCCCTGATGGAAAGGTTGCCTGGCTGGCCATCTCAACACAACATATTACTCTTGCTTCAGGTTAACGAGTGGGACGACCAGCCGACACTGGAAGTTGTTCGTCAGCTGGTGGAAACGGGCGGTTTCTGCTTTCTCGACAAAGACAAACGCGGTGACCTCAAGGTAACGTGCCGCTCTCACGTGGTATCGTCACACGGATCAAACGAGGGTAGGATCGGCGACCTCAACTTTAAGACTGACGCCGCCCCGTTCTCTCCATCCTAATTGCGATGCTTCCCTGTCGAATATGAGTTTAGATGTAGGAGCACCATCTACGCGGCTGGTTGGCTGTAGCACCCCCATAAATTCGCAAGGAGGCTTCCACGTAATCAGTGCAGGCCGTGCCGTGGCGCTGTGGCCCTCGAGCAATAGAGTTTTCTATTCGCGAAACCCCTTTAGTCCGACGCAACCGAGGCTTTTTTTCGCGCAATTCTTGTCCGGCACAGCTAACAATCAGGTTGCCAGAGTCTCGCCCCACTGTCCATCCCTCTGCTACGCTCTCCTCCAGAACACATCTTGCCCCAAGCGGACAATGATGCACCTGCCAGCTCCGTCGCTTTGAAATGATGTGCTTCCCTACCTACCTGACACAGGTCATCGAAGATCTGCAGTACGTGGGCGCGATGAATCACCCCGGTGCCGGCAAGAACGACATTCCAAACCGCCTCAAGCGTCACTTCTTCATCTTCAACATGATCGTGCCCCCCGAGGAGAGCATAAACGCCATTTACGGCCAGATGGTGGGTTTCTTTGTTCTCTTCAGCTCCTTACTCGTAACGCTCCGATAGTACGACACAGAAGTCTTGGGAAAAGTTTTCCCGACCGTCAATGCCATTCGGAAGGTAAAAGCTGTGCGCGGCAATATCAACCGCAAAGGTGGTGGCAGCGAGACGATGGTAAATGCTCACCCACAGACCTACCTGCAAAGAGTGTTGGGCTTGACGTCACGACAACCTTATCAACAGCGATACAGGCGATGCAACCACGGCAGATATATCTTGTCTTTGCTGGCCGTCGGCTACATTGATTCTACGGGAACCACAGGTTGAAGGACGGTTCCCGGCACAAGAGCGGCGATCAACGTTCCACCTCTTCAGCGAGCGGTTGCCAGCGGCGACGACTGCTCTCTGGCGGTGGATGCGAGCAAAGATGCTTCCCTCTCCAAGCAAGTTCCACTACACCTTCAACATGCGAGAGCTCTCCAGGGTGTTCCAGGCGAGAGAAATCTTGTGTTTCCCGCCCATGTGTATCATGGGGTTTCTACCCCCTGTAGACACCTCGGTTTCTCCAAAAGGTCGTGATGCCGCACCAACAACACCTTGCGAAAGAGTGGTCCGGAGTGCGTCGTTTGGCCTTTGGCTCAGTTCCTCTCGCTGCCCTGAATTGATCATCCGGGGGTGTGGAACATCCCATATCCTACGGTGTAGCTAACGTTCTGCGCCGATCACTGTGTGTACGGTAGAGACACAGTCGGAAAGAAAGAACTTCTCCATGACCAGGCTCCGGCAAACATCGAAGTGAATAGGCATTTTTCTTTGCCAGCTGGCAAAACCGGACAACGGGAGTCGTCTGGCAGTTCACACAACTGTACTAGGGCCGGATGAAGCAGTGTGCTGCCCTCTTCCCATTCTCTCTGCGGGCGGACCCTCAATCTGCCTCAAGTCTGAAACGACCACGTCGAACCCCTTACCAGGGCACACCCCACTCTGACGCCCACGATGCTGCCATCTTTCTCGCCAAACCCGGAATAGTTGCATGCTTGCCTTACTCACATACACGCAGGGGCTCCTTCGCGCGCCTAAGGACAGCATACCGACAGAGGTTTGCCTGATGAAACTTTGGAGGCACGAGTGCTGTCGGGTCTTTGCGGACAAGCTAACCACCATCGAGGATAAAGAAGCGTTCCAGAACGAGCTGGATCACCAGACGGCGCTGCTGGGGCGCGCAGTGCTGGAAATTCCGGAGGTGACAAGTTGCTCGCCTCTAGTGCTGCAGTTTTCCTCTGCCGGTGTGATCGATCGATTGGGATCACCGTTGGTGTTGTGTTTGTACCTAGTGATTTTTCACAAGGTTCAACCACCGTCATGTTCCCGCCTATGCGGCGCTTTAGCAGGCATGGATCCGACCAACACAAAATCATGAATTTTGTCATTCGATCCTGATTTCCTACTTGTCTTTCAAAACCCCAAAATATGCAATATTAATGCACACTACAGCACTTAGTACTGATGTTGATATCGCAAAAATATTTCGATATCACCTGAATGTCTTCCCCCTGTTGTTCGCCGGTTTTGAAGGGACGACTGCTTACGTACGAGATGGTGACCGGCGAGAGCCCTGGAGAAGACGAGGTGTCTCCTCCCACCGACGACAATTCCCTTCAGAAAGCGATCACGCAGGAGACATTCTTCGTGGATTTCTTGAGGACCAATGAATACGACGAGGACGGGGTAAGACAGAACGCGTTGTTGCTAGAGTGTTTTTGTGATCGCGGATTGGAGGTCTTTTGCGTAGAGAGGCAAAGCCGTACGGTAGTAATAAACTGCGAGCGATGGCCAACAAAACCCATTAAAAAAGCAGGAAATGATAAAACCGTTGCACCAAACGGGGTGCGTTGCTTTTTCGAAGGAAGGCTTCCCCTGCTTTTGTGTTGTTTCGGGGACAATATTGGATGGCGAGCATGAGTTGGTGCCTCTAGCAAACACTCCGATGGTACGTACCGAAACTGTGCGAGTAATCGCAGGCCCCCTAGACCGACGTTCATAGCTCGAATGCTCTACAACCAAGAGGGTGCGAAGACCAACCGGTACGTGTAAGAAAAACACTCGAAGAGACCTTCCGGTACCACCATTTCGGCAGTGTTACCCTCTCGGTTGTGAAGTATTTAGAACAAATAGAAGTCTGTCTGAAGGGTTGCGATTACTCGCACAATTACGGTGGTCGTTTGGTTGGCGATTCCAGGTGAGGAACAAGTTCCCCGTCTTTCCATGCCCTTCCAGGTCCTCATCCAGGCAGCACCGAAGGTGTACGAAGAGGGCCCGAGCTTGGTCAACTTGAGAGCCATAGTCCAGGGCTTTGCGGAACAGTACAACTTGGACTTTCCCGCGAATAGGATGGACCTGGTCCTTTTCGACGACGCGCTCAGGCACCTCATCACTGTTTCGCGAATCCTGGGGATGCCTCGCGGCAACATGCTGTTCGTCGGCGTAGGGGGCTCCGGGAAGAAAAGCCTGACGCGCCTCGCCAGCTACATCGCCGGGAACTTCACCTTCCAGATTACCATCACGAAGGCGTACAACCTGAACTCTTTCATGGACGACATGAGGTGTTTGTACAAGAAGTGCGGCCAGGAGGGGAAAAACGCGACGTTCGTTCTGACCGAGGCGGAGATGAAGGACGAAACGTTTCTGGAGATCATGAACAGCTTCCTCATGACGGGAGAAGTGCCGAATCTATTCCCCAAGGCGTGTCGATTTGAAGGACGCTATTGCTTCCAATTGAAACGTGTTCGTTGACTTGTAATATAGAAAACTCAGCAAAGGCTGATTAATTCATTCAATGGGGTGACATTCGAAACATTTGTGCCTAAATCATAACGATGTCGATAAAATTATGTTCATGATACCTGCTGCTGTCGCTTGTCCATACGCCTGGACCTTCTACCTCCGCTTCCACTTATACGACGAATGGCGTCCTGTTGTACCGCTTTAAACTGAAATTTATCGTACGAGGCCTCCACACTCCCTCCCACGGTTGTATTGCCATCATAAATAACCGCGGCACAACAAACATGTGTCACGTTCCAGGATGAGTTGCACATGATGGCGGCCGAAATTCGACCTTTCGCGATCAGCACCAGGCCAGACTTTGTCGATACCCCCGAGAATCTGGCGCGTTGTTTCGTGGACAGGGTCCGCGCGAACTTGCATTGCGTCATTTGCATGTCCCCGGTCAGCGTAAAGTGAGTTGATTCCTCGACTTTCGCGATATATCTGCTTTTGCTGCTGCTAGTAATCCGTTGAATTTCGTAGGTCTGGGTTGAAGAAGGCATCGAACCGTGTGCCTGCGAGAAGTTCTTCATTTTTTCGGCCACAACAATAGCACTATCAACAGAACAAGTTCACGAAAAAAACTTCTTCATGGCAAGATCGCCCCCGTTCGTCCATCGATTCCTGTCGTGCCTGGATCATGAATGACGTGTGGCAGGTTTCCTGAGCGTGCCCGAAAGTTCCCGGGACTGGTGAACGGGTGCACCATCAACTGGTTCCTGTCGTGGCCCGCCGAGGCCCTTGTAGCGGTTTCTGACGGTTACATCGGGAACGCGCCCATCGAATGCTCTGCGGAGGTCAGTAAATCTACCTTACGTAGAGTGCCCAGTTTTGGCGTGAACGCCCTTTCGAATAGGTTTTGGTGACAGCGAATTTGCAACACAAATTCTCCCCTAATCCTTGTTTCCGAACGTTTTCATCACGCTCGCCGTGCAGGTACACAAGGAGCTCGTGACACACATGGGCATGGTTCACCGCATGGTTGTGGAGTCCTGCGCCGACTACTTCGTCCAGATGAGGCGGAGGGTCTACCAGACGCCCCGCTCCTTCCTGTCCTTCCTCGGGTCCTACAAGGACCTCTACCTCACGAAGAAGGAGCAGGTGGACGTGAAAAGCAAGCGGGTGATTGTCGGGCTCGACAAGCTCAAGAAGGGCGCATCAGACGTGGAGCTCATGAAGGTGCAGCTGAAGGAAGAGGAGGTCAAGCTTAAGGAGGCCGACCTCGCGACCACAAAGATGCTCAGCAAGTTGGAGGTACGCATTTGAAATGTCCATATATTGTACAACATCGCCTCTTAAGGTGGATCAATACATTGGTTCGGATGGTAGTTGCTGGCAGGCAGAAACGACAGCCGCCTCTCTTTAGCGGCGGGGGGCAAGTAATACGAGATGTGGCATACAACCCCATTCTTGAGTCATGCTTCCTTGCCGTTCGTCTCTCTGCTTATGTCTCCTCTTACCAGACCCACCCTGCGACAACCTTACCTGACAACTTTCCTCTAGCATGCCGGCCAAAAACTTCCAAACACGTTCGGACCATTTCACCAACATAAAAGTGTAATGCGCGCCTATGTTTGTGGGTTGTCACACATACAGGTGAGCTCGATGGCAGCGAAGAAAGAAGCCGATGCCGTGGCTGTCATCAAGGAGGCATGCATGGCCGACGCTCGGCGCATCGCTGGCGAGAAAGAGGACGCTGAGGAAGACCTCGCCCAGGCCAAGCCGTTCTTGGAGGAGGCCGAGCGCGCTGTTGAATCTATCAAGGTACCGAATCTTGACTAGTTTTCGAGGGTCCGTGAATGCGTCGGTTACGTTACGCATGATAGCGTATCAGGTTGGTTTCCCGCTTGCACCCGATGTAGACTCACCGACGAGTCTCTACTGTGCCCGCTGAAAGCTGCTGATCCAAGGCCTCAATCGATTTTTTCCGACAGCCTGCGGCGGAAACACGTATTCACCCTCCCTTCCCATGCTACCCACATGGCAACTAACCAACCAATAATCGAAGCCTGTTTACATCACTACCGCTCGCAACTTTTCCTATGCGCTAGGCGGGCGACCTGAACGAGCTGAAGAAGCTTCAAAAGCCATCAGATATCATCAAGCTCATCTTCGACTGCGTTGGGCTGCTCAAAATGGAGAAGGTTCAGCCGGTACAGGTGGATGAGGTCACCATCGGGATCGGAAAGGAGAAGCAAACGCTACCCTTTCTCAAGGTGATTCAACAGTACTCGGTACTCGATTCTCTAACAGTTATTCATCCGAGCAGGTGACCCCTTTCTACGAACGCACTACCCAGCAGCATTCTACAACACAAAAGTGCATGCACCATTGCTCCTCCTCTTGATTTTCCTGCTTTCATTCTTGTTGTTTGCTCTCCTCCTTGGACAGGATTCCTTCAAGTACATGCAAGCGGGGATGCTCTCGGACGCCCGTTTCTTGCAGTCCATCTTCGCCTTCTCCCAGAACGAGAAGGACTTCATCAATGACGAAACCGTCGAGCTCATGGCCCCCTATCTGGAGCTCGAGGGCTTCAACCCGGCCGTGGCTAGGAATGCCTCCAAAGCGGCGGAGGGATTGTGCACGTGGTGCAGGGCGATGACCTACTACCAAGAAGCCTCTAAGGCAAGAAATTATTTGTTATCCGACAAATTTGCGCGCTGAGGTCCGGGACATCATAGATATTGATCACTAGAAGCAGAGTATTGGTACAATGATCGCTCTAGCTTTGGTGTGCCTGTCATTGCGTTCGTTTCGCAAAGTTTTGCTGTTCGAAACCTGAGCCATCTAGTTTTCCACAACGTCCGGCTTCGATGGAAGCGGGGGGTCACGGCAAGACGACACTTGCTTCTACTCCACCCGCGGCAAATTGCTCCTCGGCAGGTTGTGAAGCCCAAGCTCGAAGCGCTTCGAATAGCAGAAGTCAAGCTCCAGGACGCGCAAAAGGAGCTGGAGGAGGCTGAATCTAAGCTGCAGAACTGCCAGGATGTGCTGACCAAACTCCAAACCAAGTTCGAAACCCAGATGGCGAAAAAGAGAGCTATCGAGGAAAACGCCGCTCGTACAAGGAGTAGAATGGAACAGGTGCTAGATCGGGAGTTGGTCCCGAGGAACAAACGGCTGTCAAAGATAGAGTCTGTCATGCGCTCGAGAGAATGAGATTCGACGAATAGTGCTCTCTCACTGGCCTAGTGACGTCCTACCATCTCACAAAGACTGTGTTGTATGTGAAGGCGAAACCATAGCAACGAATCGTCGCCAAACCTTTTCTTCCCGGAGAAACACTTGAACACGCAAAATTTCAACAGGCGAGAACCCCAACCGAACGTCAAACACAGTCGAAGATCGCGTCGCGGAGAGTTCTTCGTCTCGTTCTTGCACTCGAAGTAGCCGCTCGAACCGTCGACCATCAAGACCGCTAGCCTGCGGGCAATACCCCTATCGTGCAGAATCATTTGTCAATATAAATGGGGAACTTTCATCTTGTACGTATGTGTGATACCTGTTCTGCCGTCGTTGCTGTCTGCTTCGCGGGTTGTTTTTCGTTTGTGGCGATGCACCTCTGATCGTCGGCCTGACGGTCGTTGTCAATGTTCTGTTGCGCCCCCGAATTGCATAAACCACAAAACCAACAGCACACCCCTGTGCCGTGTACCCCACTCCTCGACGACGCTTATTTGCTTCGCTCTGTCGTGTAAAGGCCACCGCCCTGATCGTTGGGCTTGGGGGGGAGCGTACCCGCTGGACAGAAGACAGCCGGAAGTTTGCCGACACCAAGCGGAGGCTAGTGGGCGACGTCGCCCTCTCCTGCGCGTTTGTGGGGTACTGCGGTCCTTTCAACCAAGAGTTCCGAGACCACTTGGTCAAGACAAGGTACGCCCGTACCAGACAAGCGAAACACGGAATATGTAGCCGGTGACACACTTACGACGTCTTAACCCATTGAACGCCGTATGAAGGAGTTTCCCGCGGTCGTTCTGTTGTTCAAAGGCACCTAAAGTACATACCGGTATAAAACACTTCGATTGTCCGATTTGTGCCAAGGATATTTTACGACCATGTGCGAATTCTGGTGTATTGGCATTTACGTCCACCGGTGTTGCGAAACTCCTTTGCCGATTCTTCGAATGTGTTCTGACTACAATGTGTTCACAGCAAACCCGTCTTCCTGACCTGCACCCTCCCTGTTCACGTCAACACCGTCTTAATCAGGATATCGGAAACAATTAAGCACGTAGATTTTCCCTCGTCTTCGCATACCTATACGCCCCGACAACTTCCGTGCTGTTACAGTACGAATGCTTTCCGATGATATGGCAAACCGATCTCTCCTGTACCTTGTGCATCGACGCCCTTCCTCCCTTGCTTAAACCAACTTCTTCTTGTTGCAGATTTTCTGACGATCTGGTGACCCGGGGCATCCCGCTGACGAAAGGGCTGGACCTCACATCGTTCTTGGTGGACATGGGCACCATCGGAGACTGGAACCTAGACGGACTCCCCACAGACCCCCTTTCGATCCAAAACGGAATATTGGTAAGCAAACAGAGCGAGCGATCGGGCAGTCATGCGTGATGATTCACGAGACCCTAGGGTGTGCCACTCCAGGCCTGTACCACAGTCTAAGTTCAGTGCTGAAGTCACGGGCTTCACAATTTCTTCGCAGTAAGGGACGGCAAGCACGACATACACAATCCCATGTAAAGCATCTCCAAGCACATCCCGTGTTGATTATTGCAGAAGCTCGCTACTGGACAAGTATAGCGTTATATGAAAAAAGCTATTATGGAGAATAAACAAATCGGTTCTGTGCGTCGCTGTCCCATGGGCTAAATGTGTGATTGTCGAGTAGTAACGATTTCCCAAGGCTGTCTTTCTCCCACTCGAAAATAAGAATGTGTTTCACAAGCCCACCATTTGTTGTTGTGGTTTAAGGGGGTGGTTTCTTCCGACGCCCACGCCTTCATACGCCTATTGTACTGAATTGCAGACACACCGGGATATTCACCGTTTACAGGTTACTCGGAGTTCGCGATATCCCCTGCTAATAGATCCGCAGGGGCAGGCACTGAACTGGATCCGCCGGCACGAGAAGGACAGGTTGCCGGTCTCCGGGGTGACGTCGTTCTCTAGCGACAAGCTCAGGGACACGCTCGAGTACTGCATGATGGAGGGCAAGGCGCTAATCATTGCAGGAGTTGAGGAAGACATTGACCCAATGCTCACGCCGGTTCTCGAAAAACAGGTGCCGTATGTTTGAGGGGCGTGCGCGGGTTCTTCTGTCTACGCCACCGTTGTTCTTCGGAGCAAAAAGATTGTAATGGATTTGAGTTCTGCATGACACGAAAGCAGTTGTCATTTGCGGGAGTTAAGGGTGTTGCTTGATTCGACACTTTTTATCCGACCCTCGACACTTGGTTTATGGGCTCCTTTCTGCGGTCGACGGGAGTTGGAATGTGGTTTTTGTCTCGTTTAACTTAACAGCCGGGGGAAGGTACGTACAGTGCAGAAGTAGCAAACAGCGCCCGCCAACTCGGTGTTGGTGGGACCGTCACAGGCCAAGTCTCGAGAAACAGATTGATGCGTGCTAGACTGCCGTTTGTGTTTTCCCATCCATGCCGCAGCAGACTATGCTTACGGGTGGTGCAGTCTTGCAAGATGGTCGCGCTCGAATGAAACATGTGGTTTTGGCGGGAGATATGACAGAGAAGTTCTTTGATTGCCTCAACCTCGTAGGTGCCGCCTTTGCAAGGATATTCAGGCAGTCCCACTGAGTCCTCGTAATGAACTGTATATCAAAGAGTTAGGTTCTATGTCGCTCTCCTTGTGCCTGCCGCTCCTGTGTCTCATCTCGCCAGATTGTCGTCAAGGCTCGGAGCAAGTATATCAACGTGGCCGACAAGATGTGCGAGTTTAGTGATTCTTTTATGCTCTACATGACCACCCGGCTGCCAAATCCGCATCTAAGCCCCGAGAACCAAGCGAAGGTGAACACCACATGAAGTATGCTTGTCGTCTTCGTGGTTCTACGGCTAGGTTGAAGAACAGGGAGAGGTGATTTTCGTGGGTGTGGTAGAATTGGCGCTTCTGCCGCTGAATTCTGTCATGTTCGGCAAGGGGGGCTCGAGATGCACAACAACTACACCTGGTACCTTTTTTTTCGATCCATCAGCAATCGATAGTCGGCAACCGATGGAGAATGACCCTAGCACACTTGCTTCCACCACCGCTGCTCGCTGGTGTTCAGACGACTGTGGTGGACTTCACCGTGACGCAAAAGGGCCTCGAAGAACAGCTCCTTGGAGGCGTCATCCAAAAGGAACAGAAGAGCCTTGAGGAACAACTCAAGAACGTTCTTGAAGAAGTGAGTATCAACCTGCTAAAGAAGAACGATAACATTTTTGGAATCCGCCGCTGGAATAACGGAACCTTTCACTCTACGTAGTATCGTCATTATGTTGTCTCCAAGAACACCGCCTGTGAGGAAAAAACGGCCCCGATGGCGAAGAAAATCTCGAGGAACAAGAGCCTCAACGTTGTTTAAGAGATAAGTGCCTCCTGAAAGAAGCGACCAAAAGCGATTCCCGCAAGAAACTGACAAATCAATACGTAGCAGAGATTCAACCCAAGCTTCACCTGGAGTCATCGATCGACACAACCTTGACAACTCGCAGAAAGTCAGCGCACATCCCGGAAGTTTCTCTCGAAACACTTGTGCCAACGGCTGCAACTACCACAGTCAGCAACACGAAGGCTTCGATGGCTCGAGAACAGCTTCCACTATTTAGAGCGACGCATTAATTGCCAACAACCAAGGGCGCCAAACCAGGATCTCGAGACCATACTTTGCTGGGTGTGAAACAGTTTCAAGGCACTGCATGAAAGATGCATGTCACAGCATGAAAGCTCTGTGGCTCTTGGCAGACATCAACTCCGAGACAATGCCTCCAAACGAGTGAAAAATCGAACTCTACAACAGGTTACGAACAACACGAAGTCTCTGATGGCCCTGGACCAGCTGCTGCTCGAGCGGCTCAGCGCCAACACCGGCAACCTTCTTGATGACGAAGAACTCATTGGTGGGTTCAACCGTTGCGGGACATGTCCCTTGCTGAAGCTGTTGTTGTTGTTGTAACAACGTTGTTTTATGTCATCGTTGTCATCCTTGGCCGGTCAAGGCCTTGCTGATTCATGAGTCTTAACTTTTCGTTCGTACCTATGCCGCGACTGTCGCATGTACCTGTCACACAACTGATTATTTTGCTGCACTTTTTCATGCCATACCAAACCCTCCGTACGGCATTTGGCGTGGACAACAGCAGTGCAAGCCTCCTAGTATATACTCGGTATTGTGTCAATTCCATCGATGAGCTTTGTGCCGTTTCTGCTGAAGGTGGTTCGACAAGTCCCTGTTTCTTTTAGTGCTGTTCGACGAACCGCTTCTGTAGATCGGCTGACACGAAGCGCAAATCTCCGCTTGCAATCCCATGTGGCGGCCTTGCCAAGTAAGTGTAGACCGACCACGTCCCCTTGCTTTTCGAAAACGCCCCACTCCGAAACAAAACATGGTAGGCGCTCTCGCGGAAACGAAGAAGAAGGCCGTCCAAGTGCGAGACAAGCTCGTCGCAGCCGGAGAGATGCGCGAGGGCATCGACGAGAAGCGAGAGCAGTACCGCCCGGTCGCCACCCGCGGTGCAGTCATGTACTTCACCATCGTGGACCTCAGCCTCGTAAACGTTATGTACCAGACTAGCCTGGACCAGTTTCAGACGCTCTTTACCAGGTGCCACTAAATTAAGCTGTATATTTGCCAAGAAGTTCGGTTGTATGCGTAGCCAGGTATAGAGGGGCGGGGGTTGGAGGGGCGGGTTGGCGATAATGAACAAGTGTGAAGTTGCCGGTGTTTCTTTCCTGGTCTCCTTCTCAACGGGGCGGTCGTTCGTGACGCTAGCGTTGCACCAGCACAGGGGCATCAGAACTGGCGACGACAACCGATTGTAGCGAAACCGTGTTGGTTTTCCGGGCGTCATCTACCCGAACTGCAGCAGCTGTCAATTTTGTCAATGCCCAATCATTCCTGAAGATCCAGGTGTCATGATGTAAGCTTCCGCCGCGCCCGCAGCTACACCTCGGTTCCGAGAAGCATTAAAAACACACGACCCACTTTCATCCGCATGTGATTTTGTTCCGGAAACCCAACTATTCAGGGCCATGGATGTGGCGGACAAGGCATCCCTAGCGTCCAAGAGGGTGTGGAACATCATCGAGACCATGACGTTCAACGTCTACAGATACATTTCCAGGTGAGTTGAACCACGTCGTATTCCTGAAGTCTACGCGGCGTGTCTTGTGCTTGGCAGTATGATAACGTCCTCGAACACAGGTGTTCAATTGCTTCCGAATCGATAAGAGTAAACGAAACAATGATCAAACACCCAAATTACCCACGAATGAGTGTGGAACATCGCTAGAATCAGGATGTGAAACGTCTCAAGAACGTGTTCAGACAGGACGTACCAACATGAGGTCAACCCGACGGCGCGCCATCTTAGCCAATCCGTTCATGGTTATCACCTTCCAAGTAAGATCCTGAGAATGGTCACATAACATTCGCAACTTGGTTCACTTCCGGCACACGCCTCACGCGAAACATGAATTCGTACGAAACAGAGGCCTGTACGAGCAGGACAAGCTGAGCTTCAAGCTAATCTTGGCGCTCAAGATTCTGCTGACGGCGCGCCGGCTGGATCAGTCGGACGTGACCCTTTTCATCAAGGGAGGCGCCGCCCTCGACCTCAGTTCCATCAAGCCGAAACCGCACCTGTGGCTGGCGGACCCGGCGTGGCTCAATGCCGTCCAGCTCAGCAGAGACAACGTGATGTTCAAGGCGAGATACCGCACGGGGGGTAACAGTTGCTAGCTCTACAACGGCCTGATGAAGGACTCTTGTGAGCGGTCAAGTCTCAATCTACACAGACATTCTTGCCATGATGCCAACTTTGTTTTTGGGTTTCGGCACAAGTAAGCCCTTCCTGGACGTCGTTCACCTTGGCGGAGAGAACACGTGTTCAACCTTGCGCGACTCTACCTTTCTTACGTGTTGTCTGCACAACACGTTGCTACTCTCACTCTGCTGTACACAACTCGACCTTACCAGTGTTGAAGGGAGGAGACGTTTGACTATTCAACAATACGCAAACCGAATGCGTGTCCAACAATGACAACAATCCTGGCAGAATCTCCCCGACGAGATAACTCGGAATGAAGCGGCGTGGAAGCTGTGGTACGCCGAGAATGAGCCGGAGGAGATCCCGGTCCCGTGCTTCGAGGGCCGGTTGGCTGCCGATCCCTCGGTCGGCGCGTTCTATCGACTTCTTCTCGTCAGGTATCTTAATGAAGAGTTTGAGACCATTTGGTAAGTCTCAAATTGTAGAGATATTTTGTATGTTGGAGGTGCAACGAATTAATTCATCGGGCGTCCACCCCAAAAGCGTAACGTCCATCATGCTGTCAATCTGCCTGTTGGCACCAACTAATGATGACAACGCACCGGCCCACGGTACACCCTAACCTATCACAGCAAGCCGATTATCCTTTGATTTCGTCACTAACGTGCCCCGATCCCCATGTGATGTCTCGTAATGCAGATCCCTCCGAGAGGACCGCACGTTGTTGTGCGTCAACAACTTCATCAGGCTCACCGACACCGTCGAGCACGCAGGATCTCGTTTGCCTGCGATGGGACCTCGCTTTGCGGAGCCCCTGACTGATACGGTAAGCAAGCCAACTAGGGGCCGCGACGGACATGCATGTCATGAGGTGCTATCGTCTGAGGCCAAACCAGGGAAACAACAAGCTTCGTACTAGTGTGTCACGAAGAAAGCAATAACATATGTGAAGGAATAGTGTTCACGAGTCCTAGAGGTTGGACTGATGGGGTTGAAGAACTGGAGCGCCGAAATTTGAGACAACGATGGGGTAGATACCTGCTTTCCCTCCTGATTTGTGTCATTGGAGTCGATTTTTCTCTCTGTTTTTTTTTCGCTGAATAATAGGTGGAGTCTGTGTACAACGAGATGGACTGCTCGACCCCAGTGATCTATCTTCTGAGTGCCGGCGCCGACCCAACGGACTCTATCGAGGGGTTGGCGAGGAAGAAGAAGACGGACGTCGCATGCGTTAGCATGGGAGAGGTACGCATGGGGGGGGGGGGCATCTGCGGCTGTGACGCCTCCACAAGCCCATCAAACAGTTCAGGGGTTGGTCGCGCAAACTGAAAGTACTCGTTGCTGCAATACTCGAATGTTGTTCCAAGCCACCAAAATATCTTGAGTTCTACCACGCCCAGCAGCACTTGCTCAAGCATTGGTGTCATGACAGCATTGCGCACACCCGGATCCATTTACTGACAAAGAATCCGACCGACGAAAGGTGGTGCTTTCTTGACTCAAACGAACTTGACCACATTCCGCACTCGCCCGGTTCAAAGACCGGCTAGGGCGTAGCGTATATGAAGCATTGACTTGGTCGCGCCTTGTATAGGGCACGTGCCCTCGAGCCTTGATCAAATCAACAAAGTCTCAGTTGTAAAGATGCCGATGCTTTGGGCGCTTGCTTCTGCTCGGTTTCGATGACCGTGTGCAATGAAGGGTCAATCGGTGGTGGCCTCTCGGGCGATCGCAGCTGCCACGGTAAACGGAAGCTGGGTCCTCCTACAGAACTGTCACCTGGGCCTGGACTACATGGAGACCATGGAAGATTACCTCCAGGTATGATGGCGGCAGTCGGTTTACTCTTCGAAAACAAAATCAGTTGCGGATATCATTTCCCTGTGGAACGGTCAAGGTTTGAGCGTTGCCGAGAGCTACTCGTTCGTAACCCGTAAGCTGTTTTAACCCTGGATCACCACGTGGTTGTTTCTTCGCCTGGTCTGCTGCTTGATAGACGGGAATCGTTGGGCATTGCTTTGTTTCCACCCTGGTGATCATGATCTACGCGTTCCACATGGAATTCCGACTACTTTCTTTGTCGTTGTTCTCTTCTGCCAACCCATCACATGTTTTGTTTCCCAGACGCTTCCAGCATGCCACACCGATTTCCGGCTTTTTATCACGAGCGAGCCGCACCCGAAGTTCCCCATAGGCCTCCTCCAGATGAGCATCAAGGTCACCAACGAGCCGCCCAAAGGACTGCGAGCAGGCTTGCTGCGGTCATTCACAGTTATTGTCGACCAGGCGAGGAAAAACGATATATATATCCCCTTCAGTATATACCAGCCCATCGTGGTACGAACAACAGTCACGTAGACGTACCTATCATGTTCGAAGAAACAATACGCTGTCAAAGACAACAAAGGTCACGATGTGCCAGAAACGTCCAGGTCGTGGTAAATATTGGCGTTCTTTTGAGAACAACCAACACTTTGGCAGCCAAAACATACCATGGTTCGTATCTCGTGCTTCGTACAGACAAGCTTTTCCAATGTTTTCGTGCCAACTAGGAGAGGTTGCAAAGCAAAAACGTCCTGTGTACTGTTACCATAGCAACAAAATGATGCATCAAGATGCACGATTTGGCTCATCGACGCATAGCATATGTTCGTGCGTTCATATCTATCACTTGTTGGCGTCGTCGTGCAGCCGAAAGGGCCGTGCCCTCCTGCTGTGATTAGGCTAGGAGCGCGCGCCCCTGTCCCTCGAAGCTGCATATTTTCTTCTTTTCGGCTTGGTGGATCCACGTGACTTTCATTTGTGGTTGCATAGACTAAAGGGCTCTGTTAACCTGATCAAAACCTTCGAAACGCAAACATGTCGGGACCGGCAGGAAAGAGTGCATTTCGGTCACAGCAACACCAAGCCAGACCAAGAGGCCACTTCCGAAAGGGGGCCCATGGAAATCGCAGCACACCCTAATCAGTCACCTACGGTCGCGAATCCCTATCATTCCGAGCGAACCTGAGTCTAACTGCCCGCGCTTGTCCTGGTTATCGCGTGATTTGTATGACTGGATGACTGGGTGAACTTCAGGACAAGCTTGAACGAGTCGATTCTTCGCAGTGGCGGGCCCTCCTCTACAGCCTCTGCTTCTTGCACTCGGTCGTGCAGGTGGGTAGAAACATGCATGTCATGGTCGGCAAGTACGAACGCGATGCTTAAACCCCGATCTTTCCCACGAACCCCGATGCAAAACGTTAATCTCAACACCGACCCATAACCCAGGCGGAACTAGCCTGATGCACGCGACCTTCGGTAGCGCCAGTATACACGTGCGGCATTTAATGTTCTCGGGAAGCACGTACTCATGCTGTGCAGTTATTTTCGTCCAGCAAAAACTCATGCAGTGGTTACCAAATGTCGAAGGATGAAACGAGTTTTTTTAGTCATCTAGGCTTTCCTGTTCAGTGCGCGAACAGCCGAGAAAAGTTGGAAGAGGACAGCAGTATCAGCTGTCCCTGGCTGTTGACAACGAAAATCATTCCGATATTCTTCATCGCGATGCCCCCCATATCGGTGCTTTCTTGCGCGCACTCTTTCGTTTTTCATTTTTTTTTTCTTCTCAGGAGCGACGGAAGTTCGGGTCGTTGGGATGGTGCATACCGTACGAGTTCAACGACGGTGACCTCAACGCGTGCGCCACCTTCTTGGAGAAGCACCTCTACTCGGGCTCCGTTTCGTGGCCAACCGTCCAATACATGGTGAATCCACGGCGGGATCCTACGGTGTAACCTTCGATGCTTACGGTAGCGTTGGGGTCTAGAGCAAGACGTTTGCGCGGAGCTCCCACCTTGGGTGCCGGCTGAAAGGGCACCTCATCTCGGGTGATGTCTTATGCAGTACTTCGAAGTATTTGCTACAGATGACAAGATTCGAGAGCCATGCCCTAACGCCATCCCCGCCCTTCGTGACCCATTGTGTATGCTTCAACCTGTTGCTCCTCTGGTTCAAATGTGTTGTGCTTGTCTCTGCCCCTCCTTCTCCGTTTCGTTTCTTGAAAAACCAAAAAAAATAGGTAGGGGAGGTGCAATACGGTGGAAAGATCACCGATGATCTCGACCGTCGATTGTTCAAAGCCTACACGGAGACTTGGATGGGTGCCCCCGCACTCTCGGCAAGCTTCTGCTTCAACCCTGGGGTTCCCATGCAGGGAGGGCCGCAGTTCAAGTATGTAATTCCGGATGGCCAAGAGGTGAGAGCCAGTGCGCCCCGAGGCACAAATATACACGTAGTACATGTTCTCTTTGGTGGCGGTAGCGGTGGTACTTGTCTTCGTATGCGGTGCGTGTACGAGATGTTTTGTGGGACTTGGGGACGAAGTCTCCTGCTTCCGGCACTTAATTTCGGAAGCGGTCCTCTAAGTGCAGATATGTGCGCCATCTTAGGCAGCCTAAGCGTCGGTACTAGGCAAAGAATTATTTGGGCGATTTTGACTTGCATACAAGGCCTAGCTCCTGAGTAATCACAGCGAAGGTGGCAAGTGAAAAGCTCGCGCCTCTTTGTTTCGAGGAAGCTACGATGCAGTCGGTATTTGGCAAGGCATGCGGTCCATTGCTGTTGTTGTGTAATCGGACCTCCTCTCACCGCGGGTGGGTTCCGTTGTGCCCCCCCCTTGAGATGAAGCTCGCTCCTGATGCGACTCGCCAGTCTCCTTCCGATGTATCGCCCTCGATGCAAGAAACAGGGCGAACCGACAGGAGTCTGCAGAAGTATGTATGGTCATGCGTGGCAACGAGCCTGTGCACGATCCCCACCAACCCCATCAGGCATCTCCCACCGCCGAGAACGAGTACCTCATTCCCCAACCCCCTATTCCACATCAGGTGGAGGACTACATCGCTTTCATCCAGACCTTCCCCCTATTCCACATCAGGTGGAGGACTACATCGCTTTCATCCAGACGTTCCCAGGGATTGATGGCCCGGAGGTGTTCGGCCTACACCCCAACGCCGACCTGACCTTCCGAAACAAGGAAGGCCAGCAACTCCTGGTGACCCTGATGGAGACACAGCCGAAACAGGCTACAGGGGGTTCTGGGCGTTCACGGGAGGACATGGTGAGTCAGACCTGCTCACGTAGAGTACACAGGAAATCGAAACCAAGATGGAAGCTCCGGTGTGGCGATACCCACGAGTTAGCTCTGTGGTCTACGCTCAGCAGCTGGAAACGATATTCGATGTACTCGCGCAAGACACGTGATACTGTGTAGCTTCGTGCTATCGAAAACCTGATAAAAGTCGTCTTACAGCAATATGTGTTTTCAAGCTGTGGTCCTTGTTCTAAACCATGTACAGCACATTCGTCTTTTCGTTGGTGTTGATAGCCGGAACCTAATCACATCGAGCTGAAGCCGCCATCCCGCAACTGCGACCCCTGTAATCGTACGCAGGTGCTAGAAAAGTGCACCGAGCTGCTGCTCGCCGTGCCAGAGGGAATTACCGAGGCCTCCTACTTGGAGTGCATTGCGGCGCAGGGTGGGCTGGGAGTGCCGCTCAACATCTTCCTCATGCAGGCAAGTCTTCTTTCGAAACGCGGAAGGTGGTTCTTCACCAGAGGAGACAGAACAAATCGCCTCTCATTCAATTTCGCCGACCCTTGAGAGTGGGGTGGACGTGCCCGAAAATACCAAGGGGTTAGTGTCCTCGTGCAAGGAGTGTGTTCTAAAACGGTTGAAGGCGGTCTCACGCAACACGATAATATTTTTGAGGTAGGTGCAACTTGTACAGTTGATGTGATGGAAATGTCCCTGATGTATGCGTATTACTGTTTTCTTCAGTGGTCAATAATTTCGCGAACCTTCCATGTAAGAAAAATGAACGAGAAACATAATCATTGTTCGTCGGTGACGTACTTCGATGGGAATGTTTCGGAAGTGGAACACTGTGTGTCGCGTAACTCACTGCAATTTGAGAAATTGTCGCTTGGGTTGGGCCTCACGTTAGCGGGCCTCCCCTGTACCCGCTGTTACAACCTACCGATACCACCCACTGTTCGCAGGAAGTACAACGGCTCCAGCTTGTCATCATCAACGTAGGAGGTATGCTAAAGGTGAGGCACATGTACGTCGGTGATAGATTCAACAACGCAAAGCAACGCAACACACACATCAGGTGTTGTTCTTGTGGACCTCGATGGTAGAGTCGCTTAGTTGAAGATGCAGATCTCAGGGCAACCCCTAGACACCATCACCGACCTTGTTAGAGTAAATGAATTCGGAAGACTACATCAGCAACTACAAATACGCTCGCACACAATCATATAATTTGCGTATCGGTTCACCGTTCTCGGCGGAAGTCGGATCGTTGCCGAAGACCTCATGGAGGTCATCGACGTAGTCTTCACCCATTTTGCCACTATCATCGCAAAGTGTTCCCCGTTTTTTGCATCTTCAGCCCCACCACTGTCTCCAATACTCCCCCGCCCACTTCCCCCCGCCGAACCTCCCTCTTCATGACCGAAACACGGTTCAAAGACCCTTCTTCAAGCAATTCGGGGCGAGGTCGTCGTAACCGAAGACCTGATGTCGGCCATCAACGCCGTCTACGACGCGCGAGTTCCGCGGCAGTGGGTCTTCAGCTACGGCGGTGACGAGATCTCATGGATGTCCGCGTCCCTCGGGCTCTGGTTCTCGAGCTTCACCGCACGGAACGAGCAGCTGGCGACCTGGCTCACTGGGGGGAGGCCGCCTTGCTTCTGGCTGACGGGGTTCTTCAATCCCCAGGTGAAGTACCAGGTAGCAGTTAGGGACCCAAAAGTCGAAGGATAGGGCACGTATGAACACAGATGGTGCCAAGAAATTAGGTCCGAATGTCTCGAGTACAGACAACAGCTTTTACTGCCACTGTGAACCTTTAGCTATCCTAGCTTTTCTCGAGCTGGCTTTGTCAGGGGGAAGAGCTCCCCGGTTCTTGCTCGCCGGGCTCTCCGATCAGCGGATATGGACGGCTATCTACTGTCATAGAAGACACGATTTATGATACGGTACATCCCGCCACCGGCTCATCGCTTGTTTCCTCCACAAGGAGAAAACGCGGAGGTACCAAACAGAGCAAATGTGAAAATAATATGTTACCTCAAGCTCTCTGCCGATGTTGATGACGTGATCCGGTGGAGGGTCAACCGAAGCGTCTCCACACCAATGCATTGGTGTACGTTGAAGCTATATTCCAACGCATTTCAAATGAGCTAAGCCGAAGTTAAGGTGGAAGTGCGGCATACAGTCATGCAGTCATCCGGCAAAATAGCCTTCTTCTCAAAACTATCAACGAAAACAAGGTTCTACTACTGAAACCACCGTTTCCTGCCCCCATCAACGAATCTACCACTATGACATAACACCAGGGCTTTGTCACGGCGGTTCAACAAGAGGTCACTCGGGCGCACAAGGCTGACCGATGGAGCCTTGACGGAGTTGTGCTCCACACCGAGGTAACAGGCATGCTCCAGCTGCTACAAATATTCTCCCCAAGAATGTGCACTCGACGTTGGATTTGGAACACAAGACAAAGAAAATTCTCGAGCATTTTTCGAGCAGCGCTGTGACAGAAGAGTGCGTTTGTGTCGCAGTATGTCGTTGCTCGCGCTAAAGCACCAGTGGGGGTACCCACTTCATTGTGTTTGTATTCAGGATGCAAAGTACAGGACAAAACACAACATGCTATTTCGAGGTGTGCGGTATAGTTGTCCGCTGCGTACTCCGACGTTCAGTCGTAGCCTGGTATAACTAGAAACATGGCCTACACAGGTTTGGCCAACAAGATATTCTCGCCATGCCTAACCCGATCCCCATCCAATCAATAGCCACCCATCCGCTTTTGAGGCACTTGAGAATTCTTCCCTCCACGCATCGACGGCCGTCGCGATACGCAATGCTCCTGTGCTCTTGTATGAAAAGGTGACCGAGTTCGAGAAGTCAGAGCAAGTCAAGGCCCCACCTAAAGAGGGGGTATACATCCACGGGCTCTATTTAGACGGTGCCCAGTGGAATCGATCCGAAAACAGGTGTGAGTTTTGACGTGGTTCAAGCCTCATTCTTTTGCTTCCCACGACGTGTTTACTCCCTTTGCTGTGAATCTGGCACATATAATCATGGGGTTGTTCGTACAAATTAATTGGTTGGCATGGTAACTTAGTTGGTGCCGCACGTTTGCAAAATAGGAGTGCATGCACGCTTGGGCAATAGCTTCGTCTTGTCATGCAAGTCTATCACGTCGGTCGAGACAGAAAGAAAGAGAGCGAGCATGGTTCAGCGGAAGCAATGGAAGAGGTATTCCCAATTCCACGAGTATGTGCAGCCGTCTCGTTGTAGACCTTGTCACCGACACCATAACAAACACCAGCAATGACGCCCCGCTGTATCGGTGGTTTACTGTGGTAGTGATAGTTAATGCTCCTGCTGCGTCGGAGCCTATCCTGCTCTGCAAGGGATAACGGCCTGAACGCCACAGAACTGAAGGGAAGAGCATACCGAAAACAATCTCCACATTGTCCGTCCGTTGTTGCATGTTAATGCTATCACGGACCAGCTTGGTTGAATCGAAGCCCAAGGAGCTGTTCAGCAGCGTGCCGGTTATGTACGTAACAGCGGTCACCAAGGCGCAGAGGAAGGCCCTCAGCGGGGACTATGGCCCCCATGGGGGCTTCGACTGCCCCGTGTACAAATACGCCCTGAGGACCGATAAATACATAATCTTCTTGGTCACCCTAGCGGCAAGGAGCAAGCACCCCAGTCACTGGACGTTACGCGGGGTTGCTCTTCTCTGTGGGTCGGGCGACAGCGTGCAATAGTGTACGTTGAGCAGGAGAATATTGTCTCAGGAGGGAAATGCCTCAGACTGCCATGGTTCAGTGGTGACGGGGGTGGCGGTAATGTGCAAGTTCGTTCAGGGGATTGATGACACGCATACCTCAGAGTGCAGTTGATGTGGCCAGGTGCGTGGGGAGCAGCAAGTCTCTTCCAGCCGTTGGTATGGGCGTTGGACAGAAAAGCTTCGGTTAATGACTTACCGAAATTCGGCATTCCAGAGTGTAGCTCAAGCTGTGTGCGGGTGATGGTATTTTCTAAAGGGGTGCTTGTCTTGGTTGGTGATCTACTGTAGTCTATGTATCTTCTTCTCTATGCTAGACTTCGTCTAGCTACAGTACGTGTGTCACGGCTGTGTACTGGTACATGGCTTGTGTGATGCGGTTTTTGTGTGGTGACGCATGCGTTAATCCATGTTTTTTGTAGCGATGTGTCCGACTCTCCTCTCGTCTGCATCTTTGAGCAAGAACGGCAGTATCTGGTGTGGGTGTGCTGCAGTTTTTCCTTACGTGACTCAAAGCGGTTGTTCTTCCGGCAAGTTCGATGTGAGTCTGAGCGTGCATGAATAAGGCATGTGTGGTGGTACATTTGCCGTGCTGTTGCGTGTATCTGATTGCCGTTTAGCCGGGGGGGGTTGCCTCGAAAGGGCTCGAAAGAGGGGGTCTGGATACTCTGTAGACTAAATAGAGGTCGGAACAACTTTTTTTCGTTACTGCCAAAATGCATAAAATAGTCTCCGTACTAGTGTACCCTGTAATACTGTGCTGTGTAGTCTAGACATTGAGGACGAAACAGAACCATGCTGCATCTACAGTAGTACAGGGTGCCAAAAGGTCCGCTGGGTACTTGTCTACGGAGTACGCAGCCCGTGTCTGCAGTTTCTTGAAAGAAAGCGCGGGCACTTCTGCCGGCCTGGCAGACCTCACACCACTGAGCTTGTGATCTTGTGATGAACACACAGACAGCGGTGAGGATGGGAGCACTCCGTCGTTACTGTTGCCTTTCCGACAGAAATCCGAATATGCTCCTCTCGCATGTCGCCCCACACAGGGCAATGATCATTAGGATTCGGCGAGACGAATGACCCCGAGGTCTGGTTGTTAGTCTGACGGTCTGACGTCCATGGACGTTTAGTGGAGGCGTGCTTACCCCTTTGTCGACAAAATAAAGTTTATGGAATATTCTCGGTAC